AACAGACTGCCAAATAATTCTGCCTATGAAGCGTTACTGCCGTTTTCTCTCGATAAGGTGCCGTGTTCACTATTTTCCCTTTAAAACACGTGTAAACGCAGAGTAAAAAGTCCATCAAAACTCGTTGCGCTGCATTTATCAGTTTTCCTCTTTTTTTAACAATGGACAAAATATACAAAAATGCTTAGAAGGGAGCAGTGTGATTTTTTGCTCTCAGTGCCGTAGTCTGTGAACATCTGTCCATTGTTGATGACAGATTTTTATATCCTTACTCCTGTTCGACTTTAGAACAGTAGCCACCCGTGTTGCAAATTGACTTAGTCGCGACTTTCACATACAGGCTCACGAAAGAACACGAGTGAACGCGAGCCCACGCAAGATGCAGTTCTTTCAAGGGGAGACACCGACTCAATACATCTCTCATTTCCAACTCGAGTATCAACAAACCAGGCTACAGACTTGCCTCGCTCGCTCCAAGAACCCCAAGCAGAAGTTATATTAATCACCGGAGGGAATATTCCCATCTGTTACTGCCTTCCCTCCCTCCCCAGAACAAACAAACCGTTGACACCCCTTACATGGGTTTTGGGGTCTCACAGACACCCCATCTCAGCAGATCGCTCAGTGAATGTTAGCTTCTACAAACGCACCGAAATGACCACCTACTTCAACTTGACAGGACCCCCCTGAAAAACAAACCTTTATTGTCTTTTAGGGTGACAAAATAAATTGACACAAAAGGAACACGCACAGCTCCCAGGATGCTTTGCAGCAGACAGACATAAGGGAATGGGGTCCCGTTTGCATGTATTTACAGCCAATTAACGTCTTCACTTCAGGGACAACAAGAGAGGACACTTCCTTTCTTATCCACCTCCAGCTGCAAAATGAGCGACCAGCTCCATGTGTTAAATACAGGAAGCGAGAGTAATGTCTGCCGTTTAGAAAGCAGAAAAACGATCCCCAGGGGACAGCGGTCCTGGCCGGGCTGAGACTCACGCGCTGGGAGCGTACTGCATCACTAGGCGATCGAACTCGTTCTCCTGTTTGAGGGAGGAAAAGGAGGAAACAGCATTAACAGGAGGAAGAAGACATTTCAATTCTCAGTCAGGATCCCGTTTATTGGCCAAGTACATTTCATGTGCAAGGAATTACCTCTGGTGTTTTTGGCGTTGCAAAAAAAATTCTACATAAACCGTACATAAAACATAATTAAGACAACACAAATAACTAGGAATTCTGGCTGAGCAAAAAGACAGCTCTTGGGATACTGGGTGGTTCTGTTTTTAACAGACTGGTAGCGTCTTCCTGAGGTAAGTTTATGGAACATTTGGTAACCTGGGTGGGAGGGGTCATTTATCTGAGTCGCCTTCAGGGCAAGAGGTGTCATACAGACAGGTGTAAGTAGTATCCTATTGGACGCATGTGATAACCATGTGTCAGTATTCACAATACGTGCCCCCTTATGTGGACTGTCGTGCAGAGTGGAGGTTTCACAGTTTTCCCATTCCTTACCTTTGCGACATACTCTTTGAGAAAGGGGTGTCCTTTGTGCGAGTCCTTCAGCTGGGAGAGATAGCGGTTGGTCACCTGCCCAGCAAAACAAACACTCTTTTAGGAAGAAGGCTCATTTTGGAATACACACGCACAGAAAAAACAATAGTTCAGGAATACAAAGAACAAATTCCTTTCAATATCTAATTAACAGCACAGCAAATCCAAGTGAGTATCTTAGGTTTCTCTCATATATCTACAAACTAAGCCGATCTCAAGTGTCCCAAGCGTGTAAGGCATTTTGCAGACTTACACCCGCTGCATCCACAGATATGATGCAGAATGGTGAGCCCTATTCAGTCTGGAGATGGTCACCAAAGGTCAAACAAACCAATCTGTTGCCTCTTATCTCTCAAAACTGTAAGCAACCCATCTTTCAAGGACTTCAGGAACTCACCGATTACTTCCACCATGAAAATAAAGTTTCCAGAGATCACTGAATAATTATTTAATGTACATTTTCATTTCAAGGTTATACCCTACCACTTCCAGACTTTTAACTGTCTTTATATGCAGCAACATCTTCGTTTGTTTTACATCAGGAACCAAGAGTCGGACTAAAACACTGATCTTGGAAATGAATGGGATAGAGAGTATTCCCGGGGGGTAGCTCACCTCAGGAGGCTTCCCCAGGTGCTGCGTCAGCACGATGAGGTTGATGAGGGTCTCAGGGTGGCTGCTGTCCTGTTAGAGAAAGACAGACAGAAAGTAAGAGAGTCAGAGTGAGAGGTGGAGACAAAGGCGTGTTTTCAGAAATGCGTGCAGAACAACCAATTCCTATTACTACACCAGAATGTACACAATTCAAATGACAAGATTTCTCTTTGACACTCTCTATTTACTTCTAGCCTAAGTTAAAAAAAAATCACCTTTAAGAAGACAAAGCCAAAATAAACCATTAACTTTTTAAAAACCAGTGCCTATGAAACGTAAGAATTTAAAAGACATTCAGGCCATTCCGGTTGCTTAAGTTTTTGTTAGCTAACTACTAGGAGAATTCTGTCGGGACATTTCTTGTAAAAAGTCAGGTTATCAGCTGCAACAACATGACTGGATAGGATTCTCCAGTTTTCTACACTATCTGCGCACAGATGGGCTTCCTGTTAGATACTCATTTTGCATTACCGAGACATCAAAAAGTACTAACACACACGCCACAAAAATGTATCACACAAAATCTCAACAGTACCCAAGAAGCACGCAACATTAGAAACCAAGCTATTGTTTAACATTTTTGTAACAGGGGCATGGCGCCATCTATGGTACAATAAGGTGAACTACAACAGCGATGCCCCTTACAGATCTTTGACCTGCAGCTGTGAGTTATTGGTTTGAGAAAAATCAGCTTAATCCCAGAGGCGCTTGATCCTTATGGTCTATGGTTCAAACTTGGATCACAACCGTAGCCGACCGATAAGGCCCTCTTGCACTCAGTACAGTGACTCCTAGGACTTGTCGGGCGCCTGTAAGACTGCAGCAAAGGCAGGGGGGATGCTCTACTCCCTCACTCACAGTTAACTCTCCTGTAAGACACTGTGAAGCAGCAGTGTGCCTCAAGGCACAAGGGTTTGACAGGTGAGTGTGTTTGTGTGCCTTTGTATACCTGGGGCAGCAGTGGAAGCCAGGTCTTGGCAAGTGCATAAAAAACAAAAATCAATGATTTCTAAGAAAAAAAAACAACAAAATGCTGTAGCAAAGCACTCTTCAACCCTGTCAGAAAAAATGGCATTGGGTTATCAAGACCTGAATGTGGATCACTAGGCCCTTCCTTCCTCTGCATTCTGACTGTACCTTATCAAGAGCCTCTTGCAACACGCCTTCGGCTTCATCCCACTTGTTCTGTGCCATGTGACACACGGCCTGGCCGTTCAGGAGCAGCAGAGTGGCGGAGTACTTGTCCGACATCTCCTGGAAGATGTAGTAGGCATCCTGGAGCTTCTCTCCTCCCTGTTGGCAAAGAGACCTCAAAGAACTCCGACCTCCCTCTGAGCCCACACAGCTAAACAGCACAACCAGTATTCCTGAGGATGCGTGGATGGGCATTCACGAGGAACGGCAATTTGAGGACTCCTCCAAAATGTCTCAACAGCGGCACTTCACTCATAGGCTACGTTTTGCGCAGGACTTTTATTATTTCGGAACGATAAATATGGTTCGAAAAGGAAGTTCGGGAGGGTCCCCCCTCATCTCTACTACTCTAACGCATCGTTCTCCATGACATCACTTCCTGAAAAAACTATAAATATCCCAGCAAGCCTCTCTCTTGCGCGCATTTATCCTTCGGCGTCATCCTACACCCCTCCTCTCCATCTGTCCCTGTCCCCTGTCCGTTTGGGGGTCGTGACCTCCTTGTTCCTTGCTGACCCTCAGCTAGGCAGATAAAGCCAAAGCTTTTTGCTAGACTCCTCAAATATTGCTAAACCCGTTTTATTCGTAGGCGTTTGTCATTCCTTGAGAAAATCCCAGAAGGAAAGGTCTTTCTGCATCTGAAGCAAAATCCATCCTATGGTGCTCAAGACAAGTCTGAGGTGCTCAAACCCTGATCTGAGGAGGCAGCTACTCACGATGGCCAGATTGACCCAGGCGGTGGCCAGCTGAGTCAGGGTGGCGTCTTCATCCTGCTCCTGCATCTTTTTCAGCTCCTTCCTGTGGAGACACCCAGCAGTCGATGAACAAGTCTACGCACCGAACACAGTGCCAAATAGACTAGAACGTCTGAATTAATAACTGGAGCATTTCCAACATATCTGATTTCCCTAAAACTGTAGAATTTACCAGCAGGTTTTCTTTACAAAATACATTTAAAAAACTGCACACATAACACCTGCAAAAGAACTACTGACAAACATGTTCTCAAGGTTGGAAGGATGACTAAACCTGCACTCTAAACCAATATAGATTACAAAATAAATAATTTTTGAAATTCACGGCATGCAAATCCTACTACACACAGAAATTACACTGTAATGTTCACTCTCTGGCCTTTCAGTTTTGGCCAAAGATTAAAACATTCCCCCCTACCACACTTACCTAGCTAAATCCAACCTGTCCAGCTTCAGCAGCACCTGAATTGTCATCGCCATGCTATAACGAGATTAATCAACAACAAGATATTTTTAAAAAAAGCCATGTTAGCACATTCTGGGATAGGTGAAAGGTAATAAGTGTACTGGGCATATAGACATCATTGCTGCAAATTCACCCATTAAAGTCTGAACATTATGTTCATTTAATCACGGCCTCTGACATGAGGGTACAGGCTTTCTGAATATGTGGAAAAGCCAAGAGACAGGAACTAAAGCAGTTAAAAACTCTAGGATTATCTCACCACTGATTTCCCTGCAACTTCATAAAAACATTCTACGTTTTCAAAAAGCATGGAAGGCAACGGGCATATTCCAGATCATGCTTTTAAAGGCAGACACATTTGAAATCAAATCAATTTAAAGAAGAATCAGACTTCTGAAGTGGCCGCAGACGGCAGATTTTGGATTCTTTTGCACTTTGGTGCCGATCAGAAACATTTTCAAATACCCTGCAGGCAATGGAGGCGAGAGGCTGCTCTGCTTCATCCCCGAGCTGATTTCTAAGCCCCCTGTCCTCCTCCCTCAAGAAGAAGGGAGACAGAGGCGGACACTGCCGGGCTCAGAGAGTCTTACCACTCCAGGCTGTCTCCCTGGTGCAGGGTGCGCAGGGCCGCGTCCGTGTTTATCTCGTGGAAGTAAAGGGAGGCGGCCATGAGCAGGAAGGTTGTGTTGGCTACATCGACACTCTTCGCCATCTTCTTATCGAGCTCCGCCACAATGGCATCTCTGAACCGAAGGCAGAGATTCTTCAAGCAGTTAAAATAACCATTTTCACACTCTCTCTCTCTCACGGAAAAAACATCTAGCATGGTCAAACGCACAGACTCAAAATAATCCACAAACATAGCAACAGAGGATGACACCTCTGAGCAAAACACGCAGCACAATAACAGCTTGATCATTCATGAATTTAAGGGCATTTATATGCAGAAAAGATTCTGTCTTGGATTTTTCTTCCAAAATGTCTCTTATGCAACACAGAACTCACATGCATTCCCTCCATCTAGCAAGGACAGACAATCTCATTTACAAGACATGCAGTTAGCTCTGGTTTCCATTCATTGTCCCTTCATTTTGATGTTTTTCAGTTTGATTAGGTATTGTTTATCTTTTACGGACCCAAACCTGACCTTTTGGCCTCGTTAGAGAGGTATTCCGCAAACATTCTGACTGCCTGGAGCTCTGGTGAAGAGCTGGGCTTGACATCATCCAACACCACACCATACTTCCTCTGAAAATCAAAGAGCACAAGGAATTATCACGACCAGTCCAGCGAAGCAAGAGCATCAACCCTTCAAGCTCCAGATCCAGCAGTAAATCAACCCAGGCCAACACCTGCACACAAACTGATACAATACAAATCCTGGAGATGTGTGAACGTTGAGCAAACAGAGCTTTTAAAATATTTGTGGTTTTATTAAGGTACAAGAATTTCCATACATAAAATAATAACTTAATTACTGTTCCCCTGAATATACTCTCTGTTCCCACCCTCATGAAAGGATTTATCATTATCAATTAATCAGACATTTAGTAAAGTTCAAACAGACTTTGAATATTATAGCCTGGTTTCTGCTATGGTAAAAAAAACATATGGCAAAAAAGTCCCTTTTTTTTGGCCAAGAGACAATGGACAAGTCACAGCAGAGCAGGTGAAAACAGAGAGAGACTCTGCACAGGCATGGAAATGAAGGAGCAGTACCTACCTGAGCTATGTACGCTCTGTACAAAAACACATCTCGCTCAACCTCTTTCTCCGGACTTGACGGCTGAAAGGGAAGGGAGGGGAGAACCACTTTTTAACAACTTATTTCACTTACAAATGTGAGTTAAATTCAGGGAATTGGTTCAATGTCACTGTTTGATATTCCTTTATAAAGATTTAACCTCGAGTCCCTGTCAGCCACTTGAAGGACACGTCCGTGAATCCGGAAAGGTACTGAAACGCTTCAAAAACTAAACCTCTGATGTACATCTGTGAAACGTTTACATAACAGATACAGCTTTAAACACAGATCCGCAGTTGTGTCCCAAACTCCTCTGTATTTCATTACAACGGCTCGATTTGTCCAACATTATACAAGAGATGCACTATAAATACTGTCAGTAAGAAATCACGATCACACACAAAAAAAAAACGGATCTGGATTCTCCTTGACGACTGTTTCACTCGTACTCAAATATAATCTTTGTTTTTACAACCGTATCAAAGTAGTAAAAACATCGAAGTATGATGTGTTTATATTATGTGCTCTCGGTTCGTTCTCTTCACTATAATAACAGCTTACTGAATCAACAGTGCAATGTTTAAAAAACAGTCCACAACAACGTTTCCAGATACTCCTTACCTTCGCTTTTTGCGCCTCGTTAATGCATTGCTGATAACTACCGATATAATACGCATTTTTTACATCAAAAAGCTCATCAACTTCTCCCTGTTGAGACGCCATGTTGACCGAACCGAGCAGCTTCCTGGACACGTTGGCCAGCCACGTCATCTCCCGAGCTGGCGTTTCCCCGCCCCCTGAGGGTTATGGGAGATGTAGTTTGAAAGTGGCAATTTTTCAATTAGAGATGTTTGAGTAGTGAGCTGCGTCAATGTGCGATGGCTGTAAAAGCAGCAATGCAGAGGACGCTTCCAAGCTGAAAAACAGAAAACGTTTCTGGTGTTCCGCTACTTTAGATTTGGCTCAACAACCAAAACGTTGTGTTTCTCCTTTTCTATTTTTTTGTGAGCGGTGCAATTGTCTGCCTCCTCATCAACAATGACGTAAAGCCTTATATATATTCTTGTTTCTTGTATAATAAAAGCTACTTAAATAGTTTCATATTTTTATTGCTAAAGGACTGTACCGCGTAGCGATATTTGCCTTACAGCAAAGACCTTCCTTATACTGTATTCGCCGTTTGAAATAAGAATAAGAAACTGTATTAATATAGCACCTGTCACTTGTCTCATTATCTCTAACACTTTACATATAGGAGGAGGATTGACAGCATCCACTGCTGAGGTGCTGCCCCCTCCTGGTGACTAGGGGCATCCATTCTGCAGCCCCCATGCACAGGACCTTAACAGGACCTTAACCAAGGAAGCAAATGAGGAACTCTAGGGAGGCCACGTTTTACAAGCCCAGAGCGCTCGGATTATTGCCCCAGCCGAAGGACGGCGTCTCCTACAGCACAGTGTCCACGGCCGCCATGCCTGGGCAGACAATGGCCTGGAAATTGTGAACCAGGGATCAGAGCGCCACCTACTGGCCGATCAACAAAGCTAACAGCAGTTGCCTCATTTTCCTTAGAGCAGGGGAGTCCGTCCAGTTTTACAGGTAGTCTTTAATCATTCGTTTCTAAAGTCGTGGATCCATTTACCTGTGGTCAGTTAATCAAGGGGTGTGTTCGACTGAGTAATGTAGCGATCACGTTGAACTAAAATGAGAGCAGCCTTCAACCCTAGTGGCCAGCGAAACATTACTCGCTGAATTGTTCTGTTACTTAAAAACGTCTTCCTAGTTTTTCATCGTTTTCAGCACCATGTGCTTTAGGGTGACCTACAATCTAAGATTCGTGCGGCACTCTCAGCAACGAGGGGTCAAAAGTCTCTCATCGCAGTACTAACTCGTCCCAACCTTGCTTGGCTTTCGAAAGCCACTTTAACTTAAAAGTTTACGTCGCAATCGAAAAAAAGCAAAACAACTATCTCTATATTTGCGGACAATGCGAGCAGTACGTTTAAATAATCCAAAAAACAACAATTTTCTAAACTCTTCTTCCAACTCAGCGTCGCGGGGAGCATATCCAGGTGGCTTATCCAAATCTGTCTCCCCTGGAAAACTGTATTCCCCACTCGGCCATGCGCATGCGCTCCGCAAAATAAGCGGCTCCCGCGTGCGTTTGTGTCTTTGCGATTTCAAAATCGGGAATAAAAAGGGAGCCTCTCTGTTCGTGTGCGCTGAAATCCGCTATTTATCCCGAAAGAGGGCACACACACACACACACACACACGGTATGCGTCCTTTGCCCTTGTGAGTTCCATATAAATCATTTCACCTGCGGAGGAAGCAAAAAACAAAAACCTGTGTTCTTGAGGTAGCGGTGCGGTACAGATTTCCAGGGGGAAAGTGACTTGGATACGACCCCTTCGAGTAACAGGCAAGATGCACCCTGGACGAGACGCCAGGGCAAACAGACACGAACACACACACACACACTCAGGGCCAGTAAACCCACTGTACCAGCATGCTTTTGGACTGTGGGAGGAAACCCACGCGCACACTGGGAAGAACATGAAAGACTGGATATAGTGCGGGGAAAAAAAAATCGCTCTTGACATATCGCGTTATTTCCCATTCACATCTTCTCATGTCTTTTGCAATTATAGGCCAAGGAAAGGAAACCCAGCACTACGGATATAAAGTACATCAATCGCGATATAGGTTAGAATGTAATTTCTTTTTAATCAGAATAGAAATCCCCGATCATGTACTGTTTGCTAATGTTTAACACAGGAAAACGTACAATGCCGAGCGTTTCCTTCCCCCTGCGTTAATATGACAAAGCAAATGTGCTGTGTGTCTGGATACAATGGGGCACGGCATTTAATTACAATATATATTTATTTACAATGCGTGTCTAGTTCGGAAATTGTCTTAAATACAGGAATTCCTCTAACAGGCCTCCATTCATGCGACGGAAAGCTGTAACAATACTGTCCAGATAGCATCCGTCTGTTAATATAAGGGACCATGTCTGGTCCGCTCTGGGGCTGATTGGGAAACCCCACCGTGAAGCTTTCCGTCTGAGCTCATAGAAACACACTATATCAACAAACAATGGGCACCTATAGCTGTACGTGTTTCCGAAGAAATGACAGTTCATCTCTGCCACTTGGTCAAACCGAGATAATTAAAGGTTCAGGTCATGAGAAAATGTGTACAGCAAATCAGAGGCCGACTTCGACAGCAGGGCTGTGTATCTTGTTCCAGACTCCTACAACCCTTTGTGTACAGAAATACCTCCTGTTCTCAGTTTTAAAGGAGCTTGCATTTAGTACCCACATTTTGTGCCGGAAAACTGGCTTTTAATTTAGTCTTGATGTATATGCTAATAGTAATAATAATATTCATGTTGCATTTTGAAGCACAGTGGTTAGGACTGCTGCCTCACAGCTCTGCAGCCCTGGGGTCAGTTCCTGACCTGGAGTGCGCCTTGCGCCCGTTGCTTGCCGGGATAATCTCCGGTTTCCCACCAACCCTGATCTAAAAGAGGCGTATTAGAAAATGGATGTTACGTTTTGTGGATATCTTGATATCGTCAGTAGTAGTAGTAGCATCTGGACTGCGATCTCTGCACCGTCAGGAAATGACATCATTTTATTTAAGACGAATAAGGACGTTATTAGTTTGGATTTCAGTTTTATCTTTTTTTAATTAAAAAACGTGAATGCGTGCAGCTGCAGCTCTGTTTGTTTATATTATAACAAATAAATCCCTCTCAGTTCCCTCCCATTGTTCTGCTAATGCCATTTCCTTTGGGAAACTGAGCCACGGAGCTGGGACCCGATTTGTGGATAATTACTGGAAACGGGGCTGGGGGCAGGGAAGGAATGGGGCGGGCACATTACGTTCCGTGCCTTATCCGATTGGGCAGATTACAGCAGGTCCTGTGCTGTCATTGGCCACCCACGTTGTCAATCAAGCGGCCGAAACTCCAGCCTCCCAAGTCTCCCAAGTTTGAAACTTTGTAAGGAGTCAAGTTTCAACCCCCCCATCTGTAACTGATCCCAGAGAGAAAAAAAACTTCTTCAATTATTTACAAGCTATTAACTGACACAGACCATACCGTCTAACGCAAGACGCGGATAAGCAGGGAATTAATTACCCGATTTCGACAAGTTAAGACTCCGACATTGCGAGGCGAAGAGAGAGAGAAAAAAGACCATTGTCTGATTTGGCCATAATGAAGGTCCGGGATTTTGCTGCGATGAAGATTTGAAAAAGCAACTCTTGAGTAAAGTTTACAAAACGGACGGAGAGGCGCTTCTTGTGCGTTTACGCGCTGTATCCGGTGTGCATTGAAGAAAGGAAGGTAAGACGTTGTTAATTTCAAATCTTAACCTATATTCGTGATAGATCGCATTTAAAACATGCCAAAGAACGCTTATAGGTAAGTTCTACATTTATTTCTTGCGCGCAGAGCACGGTTTTATTAATTATGGGGGGCGTTGCCATTAGGAGAGAGCATTTTAAATAAAAAAAAGTGTAGTAACGGTAGAATTAAAACGTTTAATCAGAGTTGACTTCCCCTCCTGGCTCCGCACGAGGTGCCGTTTCTTTGCCAGGTCTATAAACGTTTGAACTTCTTCACCGAACTTGGTGGTGGTCGTGTGTGCGATGTTCCCCGAGAGCTTGACAGCTGTCAGTGTCGGCTTGCTAGTCGAGATAAACAGAAGTAGCATGTCTGCTTTCTCTCACATGCGCTGCCTTTGTTTGGGGGGGTCAAATGAATTTAAAAACGAGCGAGCGCTCTCCTGTCTCCCCACCCAGCAGATCGGTTAAAAAACGGAGATGAACTTTGGCCTCGCATTGACTCGGCGGCAGGGATGGCCGTCCTCAGCTGTGTGTGTGTGTTTCCACATACATGGGTTTGCATGAGAAAGCCTGAAGAGGAACTCTGCACAGTTGCATTAGTGTGAACGGAGATCGATTATCAGTATTTAATTTGTGCGTATGACGAAACGCAGCTTGTTTGGAGGGGAAACAAGCTGTATAGTTTTAGGGGCACTGGCGCGCGTGAAATATATCCTGTTTGATTTGTTGAGTCATAAAAACATCCTTAAGGAAGCACGATAAATCTTCGCCGTGCAATGTCTGGATCTGCTTGCCCCTCCGAACTGCACTTGAAGACAGATACCTAAAGCTGTATCTCCTTACGGTATGTTGGTAAAATAGGTCAAAGGAAGGGACATTGTTGTTGTTTTTTTCCCAAGACTTTGAAATGTTAATGTACCATTTGGTTTTGGTTTGGGGTACATCGTCGCCTCTGCGCTTCGTGGTTCCGTAAACGCTTTGAGAAACAGCTCACTTATTATTGCCTGGTCAGTTGCAAAAAGGCACCAAGAAACGATGAATACGTCACTTCGTTATCAGCTCTTTGCTGTGGGCTTCAAGTTAACCCCACCGGATGTCGATGTTAGGACTGCGTTTTCTAAATGAATGCGTCTTTCATTAGATTTTTCTCTCTCGCCTGCAGTGCATTTAATCAAAAAAATACTATACACTAAAGAACATTTATTGGAAGCTTACAGTTCTAAATCTGTTTGCATAAATACGCTACATTCCTTTAGTTCTTTAGTGGGACTTTGTGGATCAATTCATAATAGTATAATCCCTTGTTAGATAATGACAGTCAAACAATAAATAATCCACAGACGCTTAATTGTGTTTTGCTGGGATGAATGCAAGAAAACACAGCGCCTAACATCTTAGTGATAAAGTGTGTGAACGTTCAGATTCCGAGAGCAGCAGCGAGGAAGCTCATCCGGGCGGAGCAGCTTCCGCGGTTGCCTAGGTAACCCGCAGATGCATCGCTGCCTTGGCAACGCCGGTCCCGGCTATGCGGGGACGTGAAATTTAGGAGAGGTGTGACTACCGAGGACCATGTGTTCTTCAACAGAACAGGATGACTAAAAAGCAAACACACCTGCCAGGTTTTACAGAGAAACGCTAGATCTGTATGTCAATAAACCTTAATTACAGGGATATAACCTAAATACATTAGGAATGCTTTCCTAAATACAACAGCTAAAGCATGTTGTTACACAAAAGATTACGTCTTTCCTTTGGAACCCAATAACACTATATTAAGTGAAACCTTTAGAAGTGTTGGTATTCCTTTTCAATGTAGATGAATTGTATTTGTTGCGCCGCGGCTGTACACTAGGGGGAGAAATTGCTATGTAGTTACCCGACATTGTACTGTATTGTACTGCGACTGTCGCCCCAGCTGGGTTATCGAGAATGCAAACGTCATTAAAACTAGATTATATAATATTACAAACGCCCTGAGAAAATAAGCAGTTACTGGAAAACAAAGCCTTGCCTGCGTTAGCCAGCGTACAACTTCGTATGAATCCGTTATCGGGAAGCCGCCGGTTCCCAGTAAAGCGTTGAGTCAACCCAGAGCTCATCCCGGAAGACCAGCGCGCAAGGCGGACCTGACCGCTGGACAGATCACAGGGCAAACACACACACACACACGCACGCACACACGTCCAGCTCAGAAACAGCAGTTACAACGGTTAGCATTACATTTGGACAGGAGCATGTGGCGAAACCTGGCACTGGGAACATGCACACTCCACACAGAAAGTGCTTCCGTCGGGAACTGATCTCGGGATCTGTAACAGCTTTGAATATACTGCAGTAATTCTGGCTGCACAGGTATATTTGATTTTTTTCCACGCCAAAGTTGCATAACCAAAAATCCTCCCAAAAAAAGAGCAGTGAATTCATACCACACCTATTGCACCTGACTCAATTGCTTTTAGACTTTATGTCACCTTCTTTGTACTGCTTTCTGTTCAAGGTTTGTGGAAGTTATTTTTGCCTACGATATCATTAGGGTTCTGCCTGAAAGCAGCTTAATACACCTGCTGCATTATTGTCAAAGACCTTTTTCCCGCCTCGTTATGTCTAACAAAAAAGTTATGCATTATTAATTAGGGTTTTTTTGTTTGTTTGATGCCCTTAATAATTGATGATGCAATGGGCTGAGCAGATCCAAGTAAATCCGCCTTTGGACAGCTAAGCCGTGTTTTCCCTGCTTGGAATTCTGTGGAAACCCTGACAGACACAATGGCCAGAACGCAGGGGTGACGTGGAGATCGATTACAATACTGCGGGCGGCTCTTCCTCTTTCCTCTTGGCTGCACAGGCCCATGTCCGGAGGGGCTGGTAGGTGGGTAGTTCTGGATTCGAGCCACATCAAGTCAGTCGGTCCAGAGCTCATCCTGGTTTCCATGGCGATACGCAAACAGAGAGCCCAGTCCACCACAGACCCCTCTCCCAACAAACACTGGTCCCCATTCCCACAGCTGGGTGGACAGGAGCCACTGGCTACAACAGCAGCGTCTGTAGTGGGGACCCGAACCCACTGCCCACCTGTAATGAAGGCAGAGACTGACGTGCAACTCTACACTGCCAACTAGACTTGGAGGTAATTGGGTCAAAAATAACATTCAGAAATTCAGAGTCAAGTCAAAATAATCAAATATCCTCAAATCAAAAGTTCCTAAAAGAAAGTTCTCCGTCGACCTTGACTAAGATCACCTGCAAGATGTCCAGAGACTCACCCTCAAGGCCACATTGCTCCCTTTCCAGGGGGAGAAGAAAGACAAACATTTTCTAAACATCTGGATCAGGGTCATGGAATCGAGAGCCCGAAGTCCAGGATTGAACGCAAGGCCTCAGCTCTGTGAGGCAGCAATGTTAGCCCCTGTGCCACCGTGCCCTCACTATCTTTAATAAGTTAGATATTTAATCATATATATGCCCAGTAGTTAACACTTGCCTTCCGCTCAAGGAAGGAGAAGAAATAAGATTCTGACAGCAGCTTGATTGTATCTCTGTGCACACAAACCCACAATGGGCAATTGCAGTCCTGCAGGAACTGCAGATATTTTTCAATTAGCAGCTGATTAAGGGTCTGACATTTCTGTTCCATAAAATCATTAAGATCAAAGAAGTACAGTGGAAACCCAGTCCTCTGGAAGCCTTTGAGGATTGGGTTTTCTTAAGGCACTAGATCAGAAATTCCTAACTCCGGTCCTGAGAATCCAATAGGTCTTCTCTAGGTCTCCTTAAGTCACAATTGTAATAATATATTTTAATATAAACATGCTTCTTCTGTCGTCTCTATAGTTGTTTATACAGTAATAACTATATATATATTTATGTGGCAAAGGCGCTATATAAATTAAACATTTTAGTAAATTGATTAATTTAAGGTTTGACTGGGATTGCACAGCCTCAAGCTGCGACTGTTTTTAAAGAGATAAGAAACCCGTTGGATCCTGAGGTCTTGTGTTAGAAACTCCTGCCTGAGATCATCAGATTCCAATGATATAGAGAAGAAGGAGAATTCCTTACACTTCTACACCACTTTTCTGGACACTCCACTCAAAGCACCTCACAGTTAATGGGGATCCCCTCTTCCAGTGTGTAGCCCCCACCTGGATGATGCGATGGCAGCCAGAGTGCGCCAGTCCGCTCCCCACACACCAGCTCTCAGTGGGAAGGAGAGTAGAGTGATGAAGCCAGTTCAGAGACGGGGATTAACAGGAGGCAATGACCGGTAAAGACCAGTGGAAAATTTGGCCATAACACCAGAGTAACACCCCTACTCTTTTCAAGAAACCCCTGGGATTTTTAGTGACCATGGAGAGTCTGGACCTGGGTGTAACATCTCATCTGAAGGATGGTGTCTTTTTTACAGTATAGTGTCCCCGTCACTATACTGAGGCATTAGGATCCACACACTGCAGGGAGAGCGCCCCCTACTGGTCTCACTCACACCTCTACCAGCAGCAGCCTTAGCTTTCCCAGGAGGTCTCCCATCCAGGTACTGGCCAGGCTCACACCTGCTGGGCTTCAGTGGGGCCGCCAGCTGTAATTTGCAGGGTGATTTAGCTGCTGGCATAGAATGTACGAGCTCTTTGTGTCTGCAACAATGTGTTGTGGTCACACGCAGGCTGTACGTGCACACTTAAGTTAAAAGACTTAAATAATAAAAAAGAAGGGAGTTGTTCCCGGGCGGATGAGAGTGAGGGCGGGCGGAGAGGAGGGAGGGAGGGAGGTCTTCCTCCCTCAGCTGGCAAGAATAGTGAATTCGCGAGCTCACCTGTCGTGGAAAGCAGACGGAGTGCTCCGCTGGCTTTAGAGGAGACCGAGTTACAGGTCAGGTCACACTTCTGCGCTGACAACCCCCGACATACCCAGATAGACACAGTCACTCAGTCCCACCATGGAACAGGACTCAGATTTGGACCTGCTGGATGGTGAGTCACAGAGATACTTGCTGGTCATGTTGTGGGTCAATAGTTGGGGTTTTTCTGTGTGTGGGAAAGGGGGTCACCTTTCTGAAACACCGTCTTCCTGCATGAACAGAACAGTTTCCAGAGAGGAAAGATTCTGGGTACTAGATTTTACAGTTTTCTTATTCAACATTTTCTTAGTTTTGTTATCTTTTTTTTCATTTTATTCATTCCAGTCATTTATTCTGTTTTTGGCAATGTGATGTGAATGTTGTATTATTACAAGATCATAGCTTTCCCCCAGTTTATTCTAAAGAATAGTGAAGAAACATGGAATATGATAAAAATCCTGTTTTGTATGAAGTCCATGCTGTGTTTTGTTTAGATGAATTTAAAATTTAAATTTAAAACCATACATTGTATACAGTAGTGCCTCTTGTCCTGACTGGAGGATCTCATCCAGCTGTTCCTTGAAAGAAAGCAGGGATCTGGGTTCAGCATCAGAGCTTGTTCCACACTCCCACAGCCCTTTGTGTACAGTAGTGCCTCCCATCCTGACTGGAGGATCTCGTCCAGCTGTTTCTTGAAAGACGGATGCAACATGCCTGTGTAGTTTGTTCCAGGCTTCTTTAAACTTTCATTTTCCTGCACAAATGCAGAGTGTTTGTTAGTCAAGTTGATTGCAGGCACCAGTATTATTGTTTTTATCTCAGTTTAAATGTATTTAAGGAAATTGAACCAGGTTATTGATAGGTGTTGTTTCAACAGGCTTTTAAAGTACTCCTGCATAGATAGCAAAATATTAGAGAGGTGTAGCTACTTCAAAACTTATTACTCAATGCACGTTCCTAGGGGACCTGTTCATCACGATGAATTAATTCATTCTGTGATGAGTATGTGCAGATCAGCCTGTTCTGAATTGATGCAGTCTGAAGGAATTCATTATGTCAGAGGATAGCTGATCAGTAAGCTCTCTCAGACTACATACACTGCTGAGTATCCATTAAGACTTAACTTTGAAGTGTTAGGTTTAAAATATGGAGAAAAATAACTTGCTATGTGATTTGTTCCTATCCCTTTCTTGATCATTTGAGATTTTTAAATGGCACCATTAATGCCCAAATTAAGTGTGAACACTGACACACATAATCAGTTTCATGCTGTTTCTGAAGTGTGAGCAGCTCCTATCATCTTATTGTTAAAGTGCTGTAATGCAAATAGGACAACAGCATTTTCTCTCAATGGAAACTGAGATATGAAAGTGCAGGGTGCAGGAATTATGATATCTACCACACCGGAACCCAGCCTGACTCTTGCTTCCAGTTCTTGTTGCTTAGCTGCATTCCTCAGATTCCAGTCTGGGGTTTTCCTGGGAAAAGAGGCTGAATATCATTCTATTAGCAAAGCAAAGTAACCACATATCAAAAGATCCATTACACTGTGTTGTGCAGAAGCACTTAGTGAGACTAAATTACTTTAAATTTATTTTATTAACATCATATACATTTTTGCAGACCTTTCCCCAATTCCATTTACTGGCACTTGTTATAAAACATATGGTATACTGTGGTTTAATTAAAGTGGTCCCTTAAATGTATGCAGAGGCTTAATATCTCTTAGGCATGTATAATTCTAAAACACTCCCTCAGTCTTGCTAAGCCTTCAGCATGTTTGATTGACGGATGACACTGGCTCCCTGCATCCCCACAGCAACACCGTATTTGTAGCCGCTTTGAATTTTTCCTGTCAGATTATGAGGCTTGAAAAAATGGATGTTTTTTTCGAGGAGGAAATGCAGAAATGCAAAAATGCTTTGTTATGCGCCTGTTTGTCAGCGAGGACCTGAGCTGCTGAGGCTGACAGAGGAGCATTGTGCTTGTTGCTGATGGTTAATGGCTGGGTCCTCCTGCACATTGCTGGCTTTGTATTCCAAACAGAGATAAGACACCCAACCAACAGGATCAGTAATGCAGACTTTGCATATCAGTACACAGCTTCTCCACACACCTATAGACCGTGGTATTGCAATAGACCTGGTTGCCCCTCCCAGCACACAGCTGCTAACTGACTTGTTTTTTTCTTAAATGTGCCAACAATAAATTAATCTTCTCTCCTCAGTCTTATCTGCAGCTTGAGAATGCGATCTCATTTATGTGATCAAACCCCAACCCCCCCAAAAAAGCCCAAGGGTTTGAAGAACAACGCCGAACTCCGAAAGAAAAAAAAACTCAAAACAAAAAAGGTAAAAAAAAAAAAAGGTGGCCATTCTGCACGTTTGAAGTAGTTTAGGCTTTGTGAAATGCAGTTGTGTGCTGCGTGGGCATACTGGCCAAACTATTCAGAGATGCCAGAAAACAAAGATTGCAGAAGCTGAGCTAAATGTGTAATACTGCTGCTCTTCAGATCAATAAAGACAGCAGAACTTACATCCACGATGCACAACTCAGATTGGCAAACTCCTCGCAGGCAGTTTTGAACTTTTTCTACTCTTTAGTTGATGGCGAATCACCCACTAATATTTTTCCTAGCCTCGAAAGGTTTGGAAAATTACACATTTAATTCAGTATTTCCGGTGTCAGAACTGAGGCATCTAGAGTAGTGAAAGGGACTTAGCAGAGAAACGAACCCACTGTGTGGTTAAGGAAATCGGAGTCAGCACTAATTTATCCCCGTCCATTTACCAAAAGGCAGAACATAACGTAGTTATGTGTGGGACTGAAGTAATGTGCTTTTCTGTGTAACTCTGTTACTCGCACATCTGCGCCTATTTAAGTAGAGTCAGATTTCCGAGACCTCAGTGTGCTCCTCTGAGTACCAGGAACCATATGTACTGTAGATCCTGAAGACAGAAAAAATCAGACCACACTATTCATGGATTGACTGAAAACGCCTACAAACCCCACTAGCCCCTCGCTCACTAGAAACTAGAATCTGCTTTCAAGCAGCCAGGTCTCCATCCTTTTCCTTTTCCTTCTCCATCCTTTACTTTTTTCTGCTACTTTTGATATTAACAGTGTAGATGTGTTTAGACAGGCATTCTCTGTCTATTTGCTGATGGGAGAGTGTTCAGTTTGTGCAGTGAGGTAGGGAGGACAATTTAATATCTGGTGTTAAAAGACGATCCCCCCACTCCACTAGGAAATACATGCAAATAAGTCGAGGTTGATCTTGTGTGGGACAACTGAGAAAAAGGAAGAAAAACAAACTGATTTAGTTGTGGATTCTTTTTCAGGTGTAAAGATTTTACCATGAGCAAGTTTGTTCTGCTTTCTTTTTAATTATTCAGTGTGGAGTTGTCCCCTTCTTGTAACTTTTTCAGTAGGTATATCCTGTATATACAGGACTGTATATCCTGATCAATGTGATAGAGGGACTGTAGGGTGGCTTGACTCTCCCAGCTGAGTGAATGGTGGAATAACTGGGAAGATAATCTGCCCCAACCCCCCCTCTATATTGCAAGGATTGAGCCAGGGAGCTGATACAAGGGTGTAGATGGGGTGGTGGGAGGGGTGCAACAGATATTTGCAAAGGGAAGTTCTGGGTGCGCAAATGTAAGATCTAACCTTCTTCCCGAACATCTCTTACAAAGTTCATGAAGTTTGCAGGCTGCCACAAGTCCTCACTTCTCCCTTTAATAAATGGACATGCTGTGAAAGCTTCCTGGCTTGAAGGAACTTTGTTTCTGTCCCTGTAGACTCCATGGACACCTTCAGCACCAAGAACCTGGCCCTCCAGGCGCAGAAGAAGCTGATGAGCAAGATGGCCACCAAAACGATGGCCAACATGTTCATCGACGACACCAGCAGCGAGATTCTGGACGAGCTGTACCGCGTCACCAAGGAGTACACCCGCAACCGCAAGGAGGCCCAGAAGATCATCAAGAACCTCATCAAGATGTTGGTGAAGCTGGGCGTGCTGTACCGCAACAACCAGTTCAACAGCGAGGAGCTGGGGCTGGTGGAGAGCTTCCGCAAGAAGGTGCACACGCTGGCGATGACGGCGGTCAGCTTCTACCAGATCGAGTTCACCTTCGACCGCCGGGTCATGGCCAACATCCTGAACGAGTGCCGGGACCTCCTGCACCAGGCCATTAACCGGCACCTCACCGCCAAGTCTCACTCCCGGGTCAACCACGTCTTCAACCACTTCTCCGACTGCGACTTCCTGGCCACCCTCTACGGTCCCACCGACGTCTACCGCCGCCACCTGCAGAAGATCTGCGAGGGCGTCAACAAAATGCTGGACGAGGGCAACCTCTGACCTCTGACCCTTGACCCTCCCTGGAGCTCCAGGGTCTTTTTTTTCCAAGTACATCTAAATATTATTTCTTGTTTCATTTCGTGTGTTTCTTTCCCATCTCTACATCTACTTAATAAGTCCAAAGATGGCCCCACGATTGCAGATGTGACCTCACCCTTGAAATTCAGACTGCGATGAATCAAACCAGTCTCGATACTTCGGTTTCTCCCTGTGAAAAAATGTTCCACGCCATTGAAGTGCTTTCTGCTGGTCTTTTCTGTCTAAAGTGGATTGCTTGTGTGTCTTTTTTTATTTATTTTTTTTGAGAGAAGGAGAGGTAGGTTTTGAAACATGTAATCAAGAAGCTTTGACATTCAGACACATTTGTGTTTGTTCACGAAGGCTGTTTTGAGTCTGGTATTTTTGCATTGGAACCAAAGCTTCAGAGGCCTTTTCCAAATATCTTCCGCTTTCTGTTTTAGAAAGAATAGGTTTTGCATAGAATTGGTAACAAATCTCTCACAGAAATTTACCACTGTCTTAAGCATCCTGGAAAAATAACTAAATAGAGTTGAACAATAAATATTTAAGACCTCAGATAGGAAGATAACTGTCATAACTAATCAGCAAAACACTTAAGATCAGTTTTACACTCACCATGCAGAATCTCATTTGATTGTAGTTTTCTGCACTGATGAGCTCTGTTAATGATTTTGGTGTAGGAATTTGGACTTTATCTCCTTACAGTTTCCAAGTGTTCCTTCAAAGTGCCAGATCAGCTCAAGAAGAAATGGTTTATTCCATAGCATTTATTTTCTATGTTGGGGTTGTCGGACTCATATAGACAAAACACAGACACAGACAAATATATCCTCTAGAAAGAAAAAGATGAATCTATGCAATACCAAAAGGTTTTGTCTTATACAGGTAAATTCCTCACATACTGAAAAAAAAACATTAATGAGAGTATTTCTGTAGGATTAGAGTGCAGCAGTATAGTCAATCAGTTTGCATTATAAGTTTGCAATGTTTACAGCCTGGGTCTCCCTGGTGTTTTTATGAATTTTTGGAATATCAAGGGCTTTTTTTGTTTTGCAACCTGTCGGACCAAAGAGAATGTGGGAATTTTATATTGGGACAAAGCTTTGTCAAGGCACCAGGAGTTCTCCGAGTGCATTAGCCTGGAAAACCAAGAAGGATTTGTCAATCAGTCCCCTGCGGAGCAAACTCAGAAATGACCCTGCCTGCCAGTAACGGAAAGGGCCTGTAAGCCAGGCCGGTCTTGCTCATTGACTGTTTTAGAACCTGAGTTTACAGCTGTATTTGTAAAAATAAAAAGAAACCGCAACTCTCAGTGCCTGTCACCCAAAATGAAACAGGGGACTCAGCCAGCTGGGCCCTGGAAATGAGCATCCTGACAAGATTATTCCATTGCTTCATCTGTCTCTTCTTCGGAAAAGGAAGAAAAGAAAACAAAAGCAAACTTGGTGCTCTGGTTTACTTTTATAGATCTGGCCCCCCATTATAAACAGTGTTTTTTGCCTGCAAGGAAAGGGGAGTTGTGCCTCTTTAGTGGTTCACTTCTGATTTAGAGGGCCTCTGGGTTTTAGCTGTTTAGCGAAGGAGCTCGAGTGTCGGGGGGGGGATTACGGTTCTGTGAAAATGTCCGAATGGAGTAATTGGCGGAAACGAGACGGGGGGGGAGGGATGGGGGAGAAAAAGCTGCCCCCTCGAAAATCACAGAGCTCTGCTTCATCACCTCTCGTTCGGTAGCTCTCTGGCGGCTCAGGTGCGCTCAGGCCGGACTCTGAAGCCGCGACGTGGTGGAACTGACTCACCGCTGGGTGCAGGGAGGCCTTTGAAAAGCCTTGTGCGTCAGCCAGCCGCTTCCAGTAGTGCAGGCAGAGCCTGAACCTGTGCCCACAGTCTCCCTCCTCTTTGCAGGGGTGTTCGGCACTGCCATTAGGCTTGGAGGTGCTGCAGCCATCCCACCTAGCAAAAATCAGACTCTCAGACGAGACAGATACCTGAGCTCAATCAAATTCTTCTTCAGTGCTTGCAGGCTTCACCTCAAGGAACAGCCGCAGAAGTAGCTTCAGAGGCAGCTGGGGCAAAAACACACGCCAGAGCATATTGGAGCTCCACTTTCACCTGGGTGTTACCTCATTCTTTCCTTAACTAAACCGAGCACCCTCACACGGTGCAATGAGCTGGACAGCTCTGAACCCCAGCCCCCGCACACACACACACACACCCCAAATCACCCATGCCGCTGTCTGTGCAGAGAGATTGGCGCTCGGGTGCACTGTGGTCCCGTTTCTCCCAAACAGGCCCTGGCTGGGCTGTGACGTCAGCCCGAGCACCACACTGTTTTGGAAACCGTGCGGCGCCCAAGTTCCCCTAAAACACGGGCCAGTGGGATTTTCCTCCTCCGATGGTGCCGGATCGTCTTCTGAGGGCTCTCCGGGCTGCCAGAGGGTTGCCGAGGGGATTTGTATTTATTGTGTTTATGGGCTGGCGCTGGAATGTGAAGAATAAACATTCGACCGAAGAGAGGAAAGATACTAGTGGCAGCCATGGCAACGGCCGCCTAGACTGTTGCAGTTGACCATCACATGACCCCAGCACACGCTCGTTTCCACGCTGTTAATTCGCCACGGGTGAAACGCACAGCAAGGCGTGTCCACATTGCCTCATTTACCACCCTTGTGCGGTTTGTTCACTAAATACCTGGGTGTGTTCTGAAACACAATTCCTCTTTGATATTTAATGAGCCATCTGCCCTGCGTGTGCACCACCAACCCACATAGGAACCTTGCTCATTTTATTTGGCCAGAGCACTATTTAATTAAGCAGTATGCAGGCCTAGGTAATTATACCTGCATGGTTTGTTGGGGTTTTTTTAGAAATTGGGAGTCGTATCAGAATAATGGTAGAGAAACGTTTGATCCAGCATTTGCTGGTCACACTTGAGACAGAAACCATTAGCTGAGCAGCTTTTATTAGAAAAGGTCAGCTGGAACTCTCTCTATATATACACACACTGCATTGTCCTGATCTCTTCCACACCTTCTCAGGGGATAATGGTCTGACACAGCCTGTGCATTTGCTCAAAAAACGCCTTGGGAGAGGAGCACTACGGCCATCCCATTAGAAACTGAGAGTCTCCTCTACCTTCTCTGCAGATCCTGTGCCCAGCTGCTCTTGTGACAAGAAGTTCTGTTATAGAAACTCAGTCTTGTTTATTTCTATTTTTTATGTTTATATTTTTATGATGGATCTTTGTACCGTGCTTGTTATGGTTATTTTTCATCGAGTTCTTAATTTTTATGGAAGAAAATTAATGTAAATACAGCTGGTTTTTGTTTTCTGTGTATTCCCTATTCTAGAAGAGTAAAAATATACTTTTTTGGGAGGAAAAAACAAAAGCTTTGCCTGTGGGTGTTTCTTTGTTGATGGAAGTCGTTTTAATCCACAGCTCTTTGAACTGTGCTGCGGCGACTCGTCTAGTTTGACATAAATCTCAAACTGTCTTTGGGTTGCGTAGCTTTTTTTTGCGCCTATGTGAAGTCCAGTTATAACCATGAATAGGAAATACTTCTTTACACAAAGGGTTGTGGGGGTATGGAACAAGCTCCCCTGTTGTTGAACTGTTGTTGAAGCTGATACCCTGGTTTCTTTCAGGAAACGTCTGGATGCGATCCTCCGGTCAGTCAAACTATTTAATGGTATAAATGAGTTGAATAGCCACCCTTTGTTTCTTTCTTTTGTTTTGGCAAATTCTTTCCGGTCTGCTCACACTTTGTGGATATTTCTGTGTGTGCTATGAAAAAACCTCTTCCTGGATCCCAAACCAAAGTTATTTGATTTGTATTTTTGGTTTAATCTTGTTTGTTGTGCTTCCATAAACAGACGCACCCCACCCAATACGTCAACAGACTGGGCCAGGCCAGGAGTTTGAAGCGACAGGAAATGAAGTTATGAAGCAATTTGAGTTAGGCATTCTCTTGAGTCAGCTCAGGAGGTGGGGGGTGGATTTCCTTTCGGGCCTGTGCCATGAATAAGCTCACAGTTTCTGTGACAATCGCTCAAGAACATTCTGGAAAAGACAGACCTACACAACACAATATAACAAACACGCGACTCAGATATACAGCGAAGTGATGTTTGTAACAAAAGACCGGGAGGGATGACAACAACTAAGTTCAATCAGACACGGCTGTCAGTTATTACAATCACTCCTGACTCATTTCATCTCCGAAAACACTGTAAATACTGTACGTGATCCCCATCTCTCCCTCGTTAGTCTTTTGCATCCTTCCTCCACCCCCATCTCCACCTCTCTAACTGCCCCTTGGTCACTCTTCATTTTCCACAGGGGTGTCTTGACCTTCTTGTCCTATGACCAGGAGGTCAGCCCTCAGCCAGATGGGTTAAGTCATAACGTTTCACTAAACACTGCATAATCCATTCAGAACACTTTCTCCTTGGGTGTTGTTATTCCTAGTGAAACACATTTATCGCAGTACACCAACCTTCACCCCAGCCATAGCTTTGAGAGGCACTGCATTTCCATATGCGTGTTTGGAGGAAAGTTTTCTTTAAAAAAAACTTTGTAATATCCTAAACTAAACAGAAGAATTAGCCGATATAATAAGAAACAAATCCTTTCCTTTTGTTTTCCATCCCACTGAGGTGGAAAGGTTTTTTTTTTGTTCTTTTTGCTGAGGGAAAAAAAAAACAAATGCATTTTTAAAGGTGTTCTCGGTGTTGCTATAAAAATCTTAAGTGGTTTCTCTTAAGAAAAAACGGAAAAATTGCCCAATTAAGATGCTGTATTATTAAAGCTTTAATAGAGTCTAGGTTTTAATGAAACAGGTTTCCATAGAAACATGATTGTGACTTTTTTATGTTATAATTGCCAACAGACTAAATAATGGCTCATGCCAGTCACCAGAGAAAAGACAGATTTTTAGAGACGGTGCTGTGGAACCCTCATAATTTCCATCTAGGGTTTTGCTCAAGAGATTCTGTGCAATATGTCAGGTGAAAGCACGGCAAACCGTTTTAATACCAGGAGGAAAAATATTTCTTTTTTTGAGCACCTAGTGGGCACTGTTACCTTTTCTACAAGTCTCCAAGTCCTACAATGTGTTCAAATGCTGTGCAGATATGCATTCCTTTGTCTCTTCCTAATTATTTTTTATGTCTTCAATAAGCCAAGACACAGAGGTCATCTGGTCAGGTCCTTCACTGTCTGCCCACGATGGTGGCTCTCTATGGAAAATCTGTAATTCAAACCCTTAGCACAACCTCTGCCCCCCCTTTTTTTTTTAGACTTTTACTAACATGAAAGACTAAATCGGGTCATTTGAAGTTGATTTCTAAATTGAAGACGAGTGCAGCCCAGACTGAAATTTTTCAATTACTACCTCAGGTGTGTTGCAGCTGTGTGCAGTTTTGTATATGACCTGAAAATATAAATATGACCTGAACAAAGTCTTGATCATTTATTTAGATGGCAGCCTGGCTAAAATCCAGCTGCTGCAAATAATACAATCCACCCCATCACTGCTGGCTTCCTCCTTATAATGAAATTCAGAGATGAACCTTTTCATGTTTGTGTTCCTTCATCCTCATAGGGTTTGCCTGCCTTCACCGCGAAGCAGAAACCTGTCAGCTACTAGCTGTTCATTACAAAGATCACAGAGTTCCAGAGTCTTTTTTCCTAGCACGTCTACTTTCCTATTCGGAAAACAGGCCTGCCACGAGTCGTCAATATAATATATGACGGGTAATTTTACATTCCTCTGCAACAAATCTAAAAAAACACATTTTATTTGCACACACCTTGCTCCTCTCAGCCCCCTAAGAAGTTATTTGTTTCTCAACACTGCGTGTTGTCTCCAGCCAGCCCCGTTTCCACTCTCCGGATCACACAAAGCGCTCTGGAGCCTCCAGACCTCTGCCGTCTGCATGTCCAGCTCCTTCAGGGTACGCATGCTGTACAGCAGCGCAGGAGTCAGCCTCAGAACCAGCCAGCTTTGAGAACCACTCTGCAGTGCAGGGCATCAAGCATGCTGGCCAGCCTAGGACTGGAAACAAGGGCTGTGAGGGGGGCTGGAATATAAAACAGTGGCATTCCAATTCCAGTTCGATTCCGGTTCTGGACTTTGGTGCAACCTGCTCAGGTGATAAGGGGTCTTCTTGTACTGTGGGGGCCTCACTCCCAGCCCTCACTGTGTGAGAAGGAGACTGTGACCCATCTCCTGTGGTCCTGCCATTTCCTTGTTACAGGCTCTCTCACCTTACTTTTCCCTGACCACTGCCTTAGAACAATAATAATTCCTTACACTTATGTAGCGCTTTTCTGGACACTCCACTCAAAGCGCTTTACAGATAATGGGGATCCCCTCCATCACCACCAGTGTGCAGCCCAACCTGGACGATGTGACGCCAGTACACTCCCCGCACACCAGCTACCACTGGGGAGGAGAACAGAGTGATGAAGCATAGGACTGAATCTCAGCAACCTATCATATTGACAATCGTGTAAAGAAAAATGACATCTGTCATGCTTTGGAAGCCAAGAAAAAAACAAATGCACCTGAACAAATGCAATTCTTGTAATTTAACTATTGCATTGAAATCTAGATGTGTATATACAGTATATAATATTGTAAACTTTTCCTTTTTTCGTGATTCTTTGTATTTGTTTGTGTAAAGGAAATAAAGTTCTTTAGCAGCTCCCTAGCACAAAGAAAGACCCGTGTTGTGCTGAAGCCGGAATTCTCCAATAGATTTGAGGGAACAGGCTAGTGAGGAATGTGTGCTCCAGACTGATGCCCTCTCAACCTGTCTGGATTTCGGAGGCAGGTGCATGAATGATTACACAGTAAATCAGCAACAGAACAAAATCCCATAAGGGAGGTTATTGTGTATTTGTGTGTGTGTGCATGTGTGCTTACAGAAATAAGAGTTGTTTTTCTGGAACATATGTGACAAAGCCTTTTATTTTTTTCCCCAAAGTAAAAGCCCCGATGGCTTAATCCATCTCATTCCCTGGTGGCTGCGGTTCTGATTTAATTTCAGATCAAAACCCCCTAATCTACAGTAGGTAAAATTCACTCCTGATACTGGGCTCCTCGTTCACCTGGCCTGCTGTCTCCAAAATGATAGCTTTTCAAAAAACAAATTGGGGCTTCCCGTCTGGTCAGATTTAATTGAAATGTTTTTAACGTAGGAGATTAGGGCAAATTGTAGTTTTCAGATTTGGTTGTACAGTTGTGTTGGCCATGGAGCGAGATTTCCAGGCGAGGGTTACTGATTGTTCTGAAAGCCTGATACGTCCTGTTGCTGCATTGTCAGTTAATAACAGTCATTCTCGATATTATTTTAAGAACTGCTGCATTGACCTTCTTAATCGTGTGTCCATTTTTCACATTAGACCCACCAATCTGGACTCACCACTTGTTTCGGATAAGGCTTCATAGGTATAAGTCTCGGGCGTCATGGTGGCACAGTGGTTAGCATTGGTGCCTTGCAGTGCTGGGGCCCCAGGTTCAATTATTGTAGTGAGTGCTATCTGTGTGGAGTTTGCATGTTCTCGCTGGGTCCGCTTGGGTCCCCCCCCCCCACAGTCCAAAGCCAATTCTTTAAAAAGAAAATCTTACAATGAGTACAACTCTAACTTAAGCCTTCTCTCCAATAAAGGACTTTAAAAAAGTGTCTGTTCTCAATCATATCATTTTGCAAGAGGTTGCTGGGGCTGGATTTGCATGATGAAAGAGTTCCTACCACTTGTCGTCGTCCATGTCTCTATAACCTGTCCTGGCTCTGAAACTGCAACTGTCCCAAGAAATGCCTGTAGGTTCATTGGCCTCTGGGAAAACTGGCCCTAGGTATGAGTGTGAGTGTGTCCCTGTGTGCCCAGCAATGGACAGCTGTTCTATCCAGTGTTCCCTGCCTTGCCCTCTCGCTTGCTGGGATAGGCTTTAGCTCCCCCTAGCCCTGTACTGGATAAAGTGGTCAGAGAATGAATGGATGGATGGTAATGTCTTGTACTGCACAAGCACAACGAGACCCTGAAGGCTTGTTCTTCTGACACAGCCACCTAGCAGAGACCCCCATCTTTTGACTCCCAGCCTGACAGTAGAGTTTGCCCAGACTGGACGGGCAGAGAGCCTCTAACTGACATGAACCTGCGAACTGGGACTGGCCAGGGCTCGGCCTGCGCTCTAGGAATATGCCCTCATTGGTGGAGCCACCTAGGACACCTACAAATTTGTTTCTTTCCTGTAGAGTATCGCTGTGAAGCTGGGGAGAGGAAGGATAGATCTTAGGTGGCGTCAACATCACAGACTTCTAGGATACAGGGGTGCGCGATTCCGATAGTCTGACAGTTCGGGCAGTTTTTGTTCTACATGTAACATAGGACAGAAAGCCTCCAGTCCATTGGATCATTATGCTGTCTGTTAACATACAATATTTGACACATTTCATATTTTCCTCTTCGTCACAGTTAGAGAAAGAGGAAGGGTTGATACTGTATGACCATGAGACACGCCTGGCATTTCCAACATGAGCTCACATAGTCTCACAAAATCCCACCGCTGCTCTTATTTACACAAGGCTTTTAAAAAAAAAATATAATTCTAAATGGTTCTTATTTATCCCGGACAGCCTGGAAAGTCAGTCACCAAATTTCCATACTTAAAAAAAAAAACCAAAAACGAAAAAAAGGAAAAACAAAAAAGAAAAAAAGGCCCGGAATAAGAAAGGAAAAAAAACGTGACAAATTTACAGAATGAGTAAGGTTTACAAGGCAGAAGACTACTTCTGTACTAATGGCAGGGGGAGGCTGGCAATTGTGATGTTGAACAGCAATATAGAAATAAATTGGGAATTGAAACAGTCTGACAGGGGGTTGGGGTCAGCTAGCAGTAACAGATACTGTCACATTGCTTAAAAATACTTACAGAAAAGTGAAAGCTTTCTGTGGGTCTCCTCTAGTGGCATAAATTGAGTTGTATGCATGAAACTACAGCGCAACAGAATGACTGCTGTGAAGGAGCTTGATTGCAGCCACTAAGGCAAGTCTCTCACCTTTTAAAACTAGTTGCCCTGGAAAAGAAAAACGAGGGGCGCATTTTTGCCTTTTGTGCCTAATAATGCCCTCCCTCCCACTCTGTTCTCGTTTCCAGCCCCCTCCTCCTCCCCCGGTGTCCCAAGCTGCATTTAATTGGTGGGTACTAAAGCCAGAACAGAAGTAATCAGATCAGAGTTTTTGAGCCGGGGACTCACGTGGAGACGCGCCGTCTGCGCAGGATTACAGCGGGACCTTGATTGAAGGCAGAGGCAGAGACGGAGCGAGCGAGGGAGCGAGAGGAATCGCTGGGAGAAGGAGTGGGAGGCAGAAAGCCAGAGCCAGGGAGACCGCCGAGCGCAGGCAGAGGGAGAGCGAGACGGGGGGGAGAGCAGGGGAGAGAGGAAACCGGGGGCCCCCCGACGCCTGCAGAGAGGGCAAAGGGGCGAGGGAGCAGGAGAGAGGGAGCAAGGGGGAAGAGAGTGGGGCGGGAGCGCAGAGGAGAGGGTGGAGGAGAGGAAGTGAGCAAGGAAAGAAAGTTAGAAAGAGGGGAGAGGAGGCACATAAATGAGAGGAGCAGCCAAAGTGAATGGCAAAGAAGGAGACGGCAGCTCATCCTGCCAGGAGCCGTGATCTGCTCTGCCCAGATGGCGTCTGCCATGTCACCTGGGGCTGGACACGCGCTACAGCAAAGGCTTCCTCGCCAGCCCTGGCCAAAGCGGCCAGCTCTCCAGAGCCAGTCCGGATTAGCAGAACAACGCAGGCAGGCAGCACCAGCCTTCCTAAAGCAGGGCAGCTTCGTTCCTCGGGGAGCGCCAGAGCTGGGTTTCTTCCCAGCAAAGAAGAAGCCGGAACCGAGCTCCAGCGGGCAGAACCATCGCAGGAGATTACTGCTTTTCGGTGGGCTGAAGCATTGCGCTTATCTGGGCTTTTCTGGGCAGAACTACTTCGGGGAATCCAACAGCGCCGGCCAGAGCTGCTTATCAGATGGAGAATTTCATGGACAGAAGCCCGACGCCGAAGGTGGTTTCACTAAGGGGAAATCTGTGAAAGCACTGGGCAGTGCTGGGCTCAAGTATCGACCTGAACCACATGGTTTTGAAAGGCAGCATGGGGCTCGACCAAGGGTTACAGGACTAGAGAAGTCCAGAGAAACTGACTTTGCTACAGGGAAGTATCAATCGCAATTGGACTTTGCTGGAGAGGACCACCAGAGGAGATTAAATAAGTCAGAGCAGGGGAAATCGATATTCCCAGGATTTCACAGATACCATTTGCTCAAATCGAAAGTTCTTAGTGGACAGCACCATGACCGTGACCCTGTAAAACCCTCAGATTCAACCAGAACCATCTGCCCACCTGAACGCCGGTGTAATGGACCTAACTCTCGCCGGGACATTTCCGCAGGAGACGTTCAAAGGCGATCAAGGTGGACCAGACGGTGGACTGAACACCGCCTTGCCAGCGTCTCCCAAAAGCTGCGAGATGAGCCAGGCAGCGATCGGCAGGCGCAGGAGAGAGAAACTGGCGTTGACCTAGCCGATCAGAACCCCGTGCCAGTCCGGGATCAGATCAGACAAGTGGTTCTGGACCTCGAGGGGGTTCTGGAGGGACTGAAGCAAGTCCATGTGGAGATGAAAGAGGTAAGCGATGTTGAGCTCTGCTCTGCCTGTGCACAACTGTTTATCATTTGTTCCCCATGTGTTCTGCCACAGAGTCAGACTGAGCTATAAATTTCAGGAGCAGGAGCCCTGTGTTTATGTAAAAAAAGCAGTGTTATACACATTCACCAAACTGTGATCACACAGGGGGAGAGGATTAATTACTGGATACACTCTGCATGAAGTGTCACACCCTATACTTTTGACTTACCAATGTTTTAAAAGGTAAGGCTGTTATGTGATGCACTTCATTCTTCAGTTTTGCTCAGAGGATGAAAGCCATAAGGGGGATAAGCAACACAGCAAAATTCCTTGTCAATGAATCATAGTCTTTCTTCTTTTTAGGAGTCTGATTGTCGTCTCATACACTGCACCTACCTACATACACCAAGCACAAACGCAGGACATTTTTTTTTGTCTTTTTCAGGGGAAACAGGAATAAGAGGTTACCTAGAGATTTGTTTTTGGTTATAAGAGTGGTAACAATGCATTTTAAAATCAGCACCACCCACATTTTGGACAGCTCTTAGCGTTTAAGATGCTTCTCACCTTCACAGCGGTTTTAGGGCATCTAAAAATTAAATTCTTTGTGATCTGTCGCCTCATCCTTGTCAAGCTGCTATGCATGGCTGGTGGACGGACGTCAAAAATCTGCTCTTTTCCTCGCAGGTTGTTCAGCAAATCGAAAAGCTGACCTCCAGCCTTGATCTCACAGGGGAGGAGCCTAGCAACAGTTACCCTAACAACACCCTCTGCAGCAGCAGCTCCAGTGGGGTCATGGTGTCCAGTCTCAGCATGGGGCAGCCAGAAGGCTCCAAGCAGGGAGACGCAGGCTCTCCCTATATAAAACTCCTCACCGGTCCACATCCTCCTACTCCTAATCCGGCAGTCATCCTGACTTCCCTGAACCCAGATCGCGTCACTCTGCTGGTTCCATCAAGCAGGAGCGCCCTCTCTGCCACCGAGGAGAGACCAGGACTGGTCTGGCTGCCACGAGTCCAAGGTCAAAGCCCACAGGGTGGGACGGACAGTGGGCTGGCTGCTCCCGACCCACATTCGCAGAACCAGGCCCAGGCTCGTCCCGTCAACCAGAGACCCACTGGCAGACCGGCAGGACCCAACAGTCTCCAAGCCGCCAGAAGCAAGAAACCACCCCCGTATCCTCGAAATGGAGAAAGAAGAAGCAACCATCCTGTCCGTACCTCGAAGACTCCTCCCTACCCAGGGAAACACAGACTCCTGTCCACTACGGTGTGAGGCAACAGGAGCTGCCATCATCACAGAGCTGTGACCAGCTGGGCCCAGACCCCGGAGAGCCGAAGACTCCAGTCTGCAGACACTGAAGGGTGAGTGATGCTACCACTAACAGCAGAGCCAAATAAGGCAAAGGCAGAAAGGGGCTCCCAGACACTCATCATTCATTTGCTCTTGGGTCTGCTTTAACGCTTGTAAATCTTTTCTTTGGGATCAAAATCAAAACTAGTCTTCAGCGTGGTCTGTCATGGCTGGTGCCATTTTGTTGTTCTCCTGAATGGGTAATTCATTAGTTTTTGTGACTCAAGCACAGAAGACAGATTTAGTTTTAAAAATCCATTGAAATCTATAGGTTTCAGCAATGTTGATCTCAAAGGTAAGTGACCGGGGCTGCTACAACAAGGGTTCGAGTGGGGCTTCAAAGTGAAATGAGTGTGATATTGTTAAGCTTAGCTTCATCTGTGTCCTGAACACGCCATCACTTAAGATGTTTAGATGCACCAGCAAACAGTGAATTACAATAATCCAGCCTGGGAAAGACACACCAAACATCTTAGCTTTTGTACTTCAGAGAGAGAGAGAAATGGAAATGGAACTACTCCATTTTATTTTCTACCCACTTGTTCCAATTCACGGTCATGGGAGAGCCAGAGCCTATCCCGACAAGAAAAAGTGGAAGGCAGGCAGGGTTTGGCCAGCACAGGATGACAATCCAGCGCAGGCCAGACAGACACAGACACACACACTCACACCACAGCCAGTTCTCCAAGCAGCCACATAACTTACCAGTCTGTCTTTGGACTGAGGGAAGAAATCCATGCGAACCTGGAGAGAACATGCAAACTCCACACAGACAGCACAAAGGGTCTGGAATTGAACCCAGGGCCCCAGTGCTGTGAGGTGACAATGCTTACCACTGCCGACGTGCAACCCTACAGTCTGTCAATTGGCAAATTAAGACTGCCATGCATTTTTTTTAAAAAGGCGCCGTCCTTTGAATGAGATGTAAAACTGAGGTCCTGACTCTCCGTGGTTAATAAAAATCCCAGGGCGATTCTCCATGATAGTAGGGGTGTTAACCCTAGTGTCCTGGCCAAATGTCCCCTTGGCCTTGACCAATCATGGCCTCCTAATAATCTCCATCTCTGAACTGGATCCATCACTCTGCTGTCCTCCCCACAGATCCATACCACTCCACCCAACAGACACGACGGGCGCTGAGTTCATGGTCATGTTAAGCAATCTAGTTTAATAAAACAAAAACCCAGACATCACGTTTCTGCACAGTTCTCACAACAGTCTTCTTGCAGCAAAAGGAGTGTATAGCCATGACTACAGCCTTGCTCTGCATTTCACAATGTCTCTGGCGGCCTACTCGGCTGTGCAAGAGGTCACCTCTGACCTCCGACAGCTCGACAAGCTCCATCTGCTTCTCTATAAAAACCGTAAAAGAGGTGAAGGGGCACCACCACAGCACACACAAACACCACCCACACCACACAACCCAGCATTGCTGCGTGTCTCCGACTCAGTATTTAAAATGATCTTGCAGAATAATTAGGTCTGGGAATTGTAATACCAGATGTTCTGTATTACCTAATGTGAAAAAAGCACCTCACTGGTAGGTTGGGCATATTTAAAACAGGAGCAAAAAAGTCTAACTTGAAGAGTACATCCTGTTGTGAACGAAACCTGAACATCCAAGAATTCAGTTTCACAGGAAAGCAACCTTGCATCTGTTATTTTCTAGAACAAATACGAAAAAGTACTCTTTCCTGTTCCTGTCGCGTTAAATAGGATTTTCAACCACACACTGGAAAATTGTATTGAAATTCAGTAGCAAAAATCTCAAATTATAAAAAAAGCTTGGCTGCCCTCCTATGGATGAAATCCACCTCTGCACAGTAGTTTATTTTTCTTCATCTTTATGGGAAGCCCAGGATTTGTAGTCGTTCACCCAGAACATGTTTTACAAATCCCGTTCTTTTGGAACATTCAAGTTCATGATGCTCTTTGCCACTTTCCAGGTTTTATTACTGGCCCTGGAATTACTCGTCGTGCCCTTGTGGGAGTGAATTCCCTCTCATATTCCAGCGTGGAGAGACTTCTTACACCAACTGATTACGGCAAAGTAAGCCAACTGCTCATTTGACATCCGTCACCAGAAAGGTGTTGGGAACCCACAGCTCTTCCCAGCAGCAGGAGGAGGAAGGCAGGGCCAGACACTCTATGGAGGGCCAATGGCATTAAAGGGAACAATTTAAAGCCAACGTCTTCAGAAGTTGGGTAAAACTGCGAGCACCCAGAGGAGCCCAGTAAGAACATGTAAACTCCACACAGAAGACACTCACTCCACAACCGAACCCTAGACCCACGAGCAGTGTGGCAGAAGCACCGTGAAGTTTTTTTTACATATTTCTCCTGAATAAAAGCAGCCCCTCTGATCCTATTACAATGTAAACACTATGTGTATTATTATATTCTTATCCAAGCGCACACCATGTTTTTGAGTGTTGAAACGACTCTCAAATTAGCAAAATCTATAGTAAAAAAAAAAACAGTTATTCCAGATTTTGGGGGCAAGGTTTTCATCGGCTACAAATTCCAAAGCAAGTAGGTGAACGAGAACTTTGTTCCTGCTCTGAAATGCATTTTGCTGAAGCTGTTGGCTCTCAAATGATTCTTTTCTTATCCTGCAGTTTTTTTGCGTGGACAGAATACGTTTGGCAGAATAAAAAGGAAGGCCCATGAATTCATTCCTCACTAAGTCTATTGGATCTTGTTTGCTGGACTGCAAAAACAAGAAATAAACCGTGAGATTATTGAAGCCTTTGAAGTCAAAGTATGTTTAAACTATTTCTAGACCGTGAATAAGAAACACCACCACAACTCACGCTTGTTGACAAGAGTTTAATATGATCCTTATTTACTGCTCATTGTAAACTGGAAAAAAAAAAGTAAAAAAAAAACATAAGGATGAAAAACTTCAGTAACCCAATCTAAGCATGTTATTGCACTGTAAAAATCTCATTTGTGTTTCCACAGTGACCCCTGCTGGCGGAAGGAGGAAGCAGCGCTGCCCCCGGACCAGCGGCAACGTCACAAGGCGGCGGCAACGTCACAAGGCGGCAGAATTCTGGGAACGGGGAATCTCACGGAGAAGGTTTTGCAGATTTATTATTCACCCGTTTGCAACGACGTTGACAATGTGTGTGCAAAAGTAGTCTAGGAGCGTGGCTTACAAAAGAAAAAACTTGTCCTTGAAAAATTAAAAAAAAAACTGCAGAAAATTAAAGGAAATAATAACATAATGGTAGTATGTTTGCACAGGACAGGCAAGGCTCAAAATGTCAGGGAGAAATCAAGGTCTCTGTACTTGCAGACAACATACTATCAACATACACCCAAGTAGCTCTCAGACCCTAACTCCAAACCGCAGCTTTCAAATCAACCCCCTCATGAATCTTAATCATGTTTTCAAACGCGCAGCCTAGAACAAAGACAAATTTTCAGTTCTATAAACCAACAGCCTCCCGCAGCGAAGGAGCGCAGCCGCGGAGACGTTCCCGAGGGGCGGCTGGGGCGGCTCCTCGCCAGCCGTTCAGAGAAAACGGAAGGGTCCGCCGAGACAGCCCTGCAGGAGGTCAGAGAAAGTTCCCCGCTCGGTCCTAAAAGGGCGCTCCTCCTGGCGGCGGCGGAGCCCGGCCGCTCAGAGCTCGTCGTGGCGTGTGCGGGCGATGATGGTGAGCTTGGACAGCTCGGCGCGGAACTTGCCATCTCTCTGTGTCACTGCAAGGGGGGGGGGTGGTAATTAAATCATTACACTCTGATTAATTGCAAACTAAAGGCACTGAGGAGTGATCTTTCCATGTCCAGTACATCCTACATACACATTAGACCCAGCAAAGGTTTACTCCATGCGGAAAAGAGAAGAGACAACGTTTCTTCAGCTGTGGCACGACAGCTGAAACACTTTTCTTTTCAATCATGGAATAAACCTTTACTTGCTCCTTTCTAACCTACGCATGCTGACCCAGCTATCCAATCAAACTATATACACACACATTATATATGGATGTACACAAGTATACATGCATGATCATTCCTTAGCCATCAATATCACTTGACCTGTGAGAGTTCAGTGCTCACAGCAGCGTGTGTGGTTGGCCGAGTCGGCTAACGCTGCAATCCAGCCGATCCTGAATTATTTCTGCAGACGTCAATGAGGTAAATTAACAGCTACTGTTTGGAATCGCACTCCTACACTGGCACACCCTGATCTGTTGCCCTCTGACCTTTGACCTTCTAGCTGGGCCACGGAGGGCGCCTGAGGCCAAGGGGGCCCAGTGTCCTGCCTCACCTGAGGTGTCCCCCACAGTATACTCCTCCTCCTTCAGCGCCACGTCCTTCTGTCCACCCACGGCCGCCTGAGACTGCGGGGCGAGAGAGAGGGAGGAGCAGGAGACAGAAGAGCCAGTTCCAATAATTACAGCCGGCAAGTATAACATCAGGAACTACTCGATTCACTTCACAAATACACAATAACCCCGCTGAAAAGCTGCTACAGCTCTTGTTAGAGATCAAATCAAACCAGTTCTGCTTTCTTGTGCGAGTATTCCAAGGGGTGCCGACAGGCTTTGGGGATCTGAAGCCAGTCCACACTAACTGTGTCTTTTATTCTGCTACAGCCCCACGGGAACAGGGCCTGCAGCGCGGGGGGCGGAGGAGGGGCCTGTCTGTATCTCGGCACCCTGACTGCAGGGCAGGGACCTCGTGACCTGGCAGCCTGCGGGGGGGATCAGGGGGCGCCTGCGGGGGAGGAGGAGGCTTTCCACGCCAGCCTGCGTTCAGGCGCAGACCCGCATGCAGCTTCGTCAGGGCCGTTTCTCATTGCTCTCCCCCTTTGCTCCCGGCAATCGCACGCAGAGCAGCCCTAGACCGCCCAGGGCAATGCTTTGATGTCATCTTGTGGGTATCCAGAAAACAATAAAACTGTGAAACAGTGATGTGCCCCTTGGCTCTTCTTTAAACAATACCAACTTCAAATTCCCCCTCAGGGGCACGATTCAGAAGAGCTGACTGTTTAAGCATCAGTTGTTGATCGCTTCCGGGGTTCACCAGACAGGGCAGTAAGGACTCTGATGGGGTTCTGAGCTAAGGAGAGGTGAAATCAACTGACACTAAAATCAACCCCCCACCCCTCCCCATCAGAGCAGAGTTCCAGAGAGGCCAGAGGGCTGAGCAACACCCCCTATCCCCTATGATCCATGGCAAATTGTCATCCGCTCAGACACAGAAACTTTTCCAGCACAGAGAAGTTCAGAAAGATGGAAAACTTTCAATTGCGTCCACGAAGTATGTTAGAAATGCTGCCCCCTCCTGGTCAACCAGGGACAGTGCAGCAGCGTGCACAGCCACTTGCAAACCTTGCGGCTGTGAATTTCTCTGCTAGAGTGGCCATTTTTAGAGAACAGGAGCGCTCACGTCCTGAACACGGGTCCAAGACGAAAAATACGGAGATCCAATGAATTCGGTTATCTTTGATAAAGCAATAAGGTGTACATAAATATGGTAAAGAGACGAGGAGTGTAAGAGAGTGTTTCTGAGCCTGGCTGATACTTACATAGGCGCTGGCATATTCAATTTTAGCTCCCGTCACCTCTGCCTTGAACTGAGTGAAGAAGAGGTAAGACTTCCCCTGGGGTCTGTCAGCGAAGACACACAGGAGTTACGACCAGGGACAGGGCTGCTTGAACACGCCGCAGCATGAAGCCTGTCTGTTTGGTAGCTTATTCTACAACAGCTTTCGAGATGTACATTAACCCAGCAGTTGCGCTTAGGACCGATGACACAGGTACTACAGCAAACAAATTTAGGAAAAGCGACTGCCCCTACAACATCACAACTATTGAACTTTCCGATATTCAACGCGGCATCAACGATTCTATCAAATGAGCTTGATGACATTCACGAGAGGAGAACGATGCAAAAAACATACCATGCTTTTTAATCCCTTAGGTCCCTACTGCTCAATGGAAGACTCAAGACAATGTGTGGGAGCTCAGGCGCGCCTCCACCAGACACAGAAGAGAAAGGCGGTTTCACTTCACACAAAGCAATAATCCCACTGAAAACCCCCATCTGCAGTGTAGCGAGCTGGATCTCTTGTTAGAGCCAGCTTTATCTCAAACCCCTTCTGCTATCCTGTGTGAGTATCCCAAGGTTTCTGGCTGGTCGGGTGCCAACAGGTCATCCAGGGGTCATTCAAGCTGCAGCCCCAGAAGAGCTGGGAGAAGCTGAGGAATCGATCTAATTAAGACAAGTCGATTCAAGTCATTAAAAGCCCAGCTGGATGGAAAGCCTGTAAACGCACCATCTCTCCAGGATCAGGATTAGGGGACCCCTACATGTGTAGGCCAGAGGAAGGATACTTTACCATTTCCATTCCAGGACTTTGTTCTATCTACTGCTTATTTAGTGAGGTGAATTTCAGCAGCCAGGTTAATTAAGCAAATTAAGTCATTCATTTATTCGATGTCTCCAAGTCCTGGAGTAGGTGTACTGGTGGACGCCACACCTTGGCAAAGCCTGGGAGTGGCACATGGGGGCAGTCACACCCAATACTGCAGCGAAAGAGATGGCACACCAACCTCCAGACCGAGCAAGAGAAGAGGCGCTCGTCGTCACTGATGCCCACACTCATCTGCCATTGCTGCACAGAGACAAAAGAACAGTGACAGTCCCTCCTCCCGCAGAACACACTCAAATCAAATGGTCAATTTAAGGTTCAGGTTTGAGGCTTAGCTATAAAGTGTTACATGGAGGTGGAGAAAACAAACTATAGCTACAAAATGGGAACTGAGGATCTTGAAAAAAAATATTTAAAAAAAACAAGTATTTAAATGTTCAGACTTCATCTTCCAGAACACAGATCTCCAGCTCTGTTCCTAGAGAGCCACAGCTCAGCTGGAGGTAAAAGTGATCAATGATCATTAATTTATAAAGGCCTGGAACACATCTGACTTTCGATTATTTTAGTAGATTAACTGATACAATTAAACCTGAAATGGCCAACCCTTCAACTAAGTGAACAAATCTCTTGCAGTGCCAAAACGAAATTCTTCCAAGTGTTTAGAAATTGATTAGTTGAGGTGGACCCACCAAATCAGCTGAAGAGTGACTTTCGGGGGCCAGAGTGGCCACACCTACTCCAGCTGTGTGGAAACCACAGCTACAGACATTGTGAAAAAGACAAACGTGGGGATATATTATTAAAGATGAAGACGATGAAGGGGTGGCACATTAAAGCTGTAAATGCCCTAAGTGGGGCCTTTTTTAGGAGATGTACAATTTTGGTCACAACATTACAAAAAAAGATGTTGCTGGTCTGAAATCAGCCCAGGCAAGAGCAAGCAGACACATTCATTGGCAGCAAGGAACATCACACTGACAGGAGGAAAGAAGAACTGTAATGTTCTACTCTTGAACGAGGGACCTGACTCAAATACCCAAACTCCTTGACATTTCTGACAGTAAGCAATGCTTAAAATGTGGGGAAGTGCTTTTAAAACTGAGGACGGGAGGCGCTTCTTTACATAGAGGGCTGCGGGGGTCTGGAACAAGCTGCTCAGCCATGGTACTGAAGCCGAAACCATTCCAAGAAACGGCGGGACGAGATCCTTGGATAACTTAGGAATGGGCAACTGAACAGGCTAGAATGGCCCCCTCTGATTTACAGCCTCTAGTTATGCTCTTATACAAAGCCCACTTTTCCTTCCCTCCAGTAAATAAAGCCCCCAAAATTGACAATGGGTGCAGACTGAATCTCTTCATCGTTACACTTCTCCCTCTTAATTATCACCCCATGGAACTCATCACTGCTCCCAATTAACCCATTCGAGCCAGAGTCAACAGCTGGCTGGACTCACCTCGTTGGTCCCTCCTTGTGAAGCATAGGTAAAAGAGCAGCCGTATTCGCCCTGAAAATGGCAACACACGTGGAGATAAGACATTTTATTTCCTTTTTAAGCGACTGACAGGCATTTTATTCCCGTATGCATCAATGGCGCTGCGGCCAGTTTTTTGTTCTTGTCCTCAGGGATCAGATCTGCAGGCTTAGAAAAGGAAGATTTCAATAAGCGTTCACCGTCTTCTGCCTCCTCTCCTATTTCTATGATCACTTTCCAACCTTGTTGGTGAATCCCGCAAAAACGAGAAATTCGTTAAATGAATAAAGAACTAGATAAAAGCGAAACTATGCCGATTTCAGATGCCTGGTGTAAAAGGGTTTGTTAAACTGGGGGGTTTAATTAAAAGTAACAGGCATTTTTAACCAGTGCTTTCACACACTCTATTAGGAAACCTGGAAAAAAAATCAATTTAATTTCGGAAATCAAATCTAGAACGAGAGTAAAACAACATATTGAACAGAGCCACACACAGCTCATCACACTCGTGTGCAAAGTCCTTGATTCACAGAAAGATCTGCGGGTCGGCTCCCTCCTCTTACGCCAATGAATGGCCACATTGTGGATGAGCCAGCGCTTCAAACCCTGACGTGTCAGTCTCTCACAGGACAACCCACCTTCCGGTCCTATGCCTCAATTCCACTTTTATTTCCACACTATAATCGTCGTTTTGTTTCAACGAGAATCACTATAAGCGCAGCAATAGGTTCGTGGAAATGTGCATGTCCATTTGGAGGAAAAGGCGCCGCTCGGAAACGCATCAGCTTTGGCGTAACCGTGCGTTTTGGTGCAGCAGTAGCTAACCCGCTCGACTCTTGTACACGTTTTCCAGACACGATCGTACTTCTCCACTCAGGCTCAAATGCCGTTTTTCGTTTCAAATTTGGAAGTGCACCGCCAAATACCTCAACCGAACCTAGGTTTTAGGCCAGAAAACGTTAAAAAAAAAAGGTTCAGCACAAACCTGACCACAGTGCACCGGTGTCTCTGCGCCTTCTGATTTTTAAGCTAGTTCCTACCCCTTCACAAATAAATCAGAACCAGGACCGCCAGGGTGACACTGCAGTTGGTAATGCAATCCTCTCTAGTTCATACGGGTGCGAGATTTTACAGATCTCCCAATTTTACGCACACGAAAGCGCACAGTCGGTGTTTGTTAACACCCAGCGGTGTCCACACCAGGTACTTACAATCTTCTCGGAGAAGCTGTGCACCATCCCGCCGGGCCTCACATTAAACTCCACGGTCTTGGTTTTTTCCTGGGAAGCGGAGACAAATGTCACCGCTAATAACGATATTAGCGAAACCTTCAACACGGTCTGAACAAGAGAGGGAGCGAAACTGCTGCTACTGGAGGTAGCCATCTTGAAACCTCGAAATACTCCAACTACCGTAGTATCCGTAGTAAAGGAGTAGCTACTTCGGTTTACGGTAGTAGATGCGCAACTAAAAAGCCGTTTTCCAGCTGGGTCTGTGCACAGCCGCTCTGTGGAAGTCGGGCGCTTTTGTCACCACACCTGGTTTGAAAAGAGTAACAATATGACTGCCCCGCGTTTTGAAATAGGTTCTTATTCAGTATTGCTTCTCGAGATTGTTCGCTTTGTGTGAGATGTCGATATTATTAAAATCCAGTTATATTCCACAAAACAGGTTAAACGTGGCCACTAACCAAACGTTTTAAATAATAATAATACACTTATATAGCGGTTTGCTGGACACTTTACAGGTCATGGGGATCCCCTCCACCACCACCAGTGTGCAGCCCCACCTGGATGATGCGCCAGTCCGCTCCCCCAACACCAGCTCTCAGTGGGGAGGAGAGCAGAGTGATGAAGCCAGTTCAGAGATGGGGATTACTGGGAGGACATGACTGGTAAAGGCCACGGGGAAACTGGCCATGACACCAGGGTAACACCCCTACTCTTTTTGAGAAGCGCCCTGGGAATATTAGAGATTTACATACTGTAAATTTAATCACGAAAATAGGTATGTAATAGATCTACTTAGAAAAAAAAATGCATTTTGAACTAACGTCTTTTGCGATTTCCAACATGATACATTTTTTCATGCTTTCACCTGACACCTGAAGAAGGCGCCACGGCCGAAACGTTGTGTTTTCTCTCTCCTCTCTTCAGCATGGCATAAACCTATTACTTGTTCCTTTGCAGCCTACGCATGCTGACGCAGCTACCCCCCTTAACTATAAATAATACATTGTTACCAAAGACTCGTACAGTGTATCAAGGTTGAGAACCTACTAGTATAGACTCTTGTCTAGTTAAGCAATATTTACTTGTACCACTAGAGGGCACTCCGGTCGCTCCAGAACACTGCGGAATTCGTAGCTTTCCCTGGCTGAATGCCTATTACTATTAACGCTAAACCGGGCTGTGGATCTCGGTCCTGGATGACTGCTGTCAGATGACTAGGTCTCTTTAAAGCGCCTGTGCCTGTAGGACAGAGATGTGTTGTGAAACCCGAGCAATCATGCTGATGGGGAGCTAAATGAAGTTACTGTGTCAGAAGCTGAACTGGAATGAAAACCCATGCCAACACACCAACCCTCCAGGACGGAACATTAATTAGACAGGTTGCATCTTAGGACAGGATGGCTCCTACTCCAGTCCTGGAAGGCCAGTGTGTCTGCAGTTGTTAATTCTAACTAAGCTCAAAGTGACCCAATTCAAGCTTGAAAATTGCTCCAGTTAAGCCCATAACCAACAGGTTTTCAGGGGCTGTGGCCTTCAGACAGCACTAGGCCAGCTGGACATGATATGGATCACCCTCGTATGCACATATCTCTAATGATTTAATGTTCATTAGCCATTTGCCATTTAAATACATAGCTGGGCATGTGGTGCACCAAAACCTGGACAGTCCTGGGTTGCAGTGCTGTGTATGACTAGATTCTTATTCAGTAAGCACACAGGACAAAACATTTTTTAAAAATACAGCATTTGGTTACAAACGGTCTTACCTCTCCAATAATAACTCAGAAACCCGCTAAGTTAAACTCCTGCTGTTTGTGCGAAATGTTCTGCTGAAGGAATGTTGCGCTCCGTTTTTGATTACATTTCGGCAGAGCTGAGCCACAATTTCCCACCAGCTTTCGGCTGCTCACGTCCCTCAGGTCTCGCGCCGCAGCTCAGACGCGTCCTGGGACGGTTGTCTGACAGACACCTCCTCAAAGAGCTGCCTTTATTTTCACACAGCAGTGGTAGAGGGGCAGCTGGCACTCTGCTGTCGGCTTCTCTGTTTATTTAAGTCTTGTCTGAGATTCTCATCCCTCCTGCATGATGTCCCTTCTTCCATCCTCTCATGCACTTTCCCCTCATCTCCAGCTCTGGAGAAACTCTCCTCTTGTTCCTGGGCAAAGTCCTTCATCTGCGCTGGTCTTATAAAACAGCCAGCTGTGTAAATAGGTGCAAGTGTAAGTTTGCTTTGCAGAAAAAAAACTCTCAGCCCCATAACGTAGTTTCTGTTAATTATATTATGAATTTAAGTCTTTCTTATACTTGTTAATGTGAGCAGGGTGGGGTATAGGGGGGTGCCTGGATAGACTCTATTAATCATCCCTACTCCCTCCAACAAAACTCAGCTGCAAGTGAGTGTGGGACTCAGTTAGGTCAGTAGCTCAGTGCTGGAAAGTCAGGCAGAAGTGTGAGGCCGTGTGCTAACTTTCACTAATGCTCTTTAAGTTCAAAGTTCAGGATGCCTGAAATTGTGCAAACATGTACCATACAGAAAGACACATTGTAAACCAGGTTTGCTGCCTCTAGCAAGGTAGCCAAGGTGCAGTGTTTTAATGTAAACCACCCAAAGCAGCATGAGTGAGGAGCAATTCATTTTTTTACCAAGAAACTAGAGAAAAATAACTTGAGAATGACATCATTGTGCTTTATTGTTTATGGTTTTTAGCTATTAGGTCGCATTTCAGCACACAACTATTGGAATTTTCAAAGCTTTTTGTCACAAGATTAAGTCTTCTCAAACAATTGTGATGAAAAACAAACATGGAAGTACTGTAATTCTAGGTTTATTAGGACAATTGCAATCAAGGGGAATTAAATGTATATTTAGGCATTTTGGTTGATTAATGTAAGTCTGTAATTGTTTTATATAGGGAAAGTATATAATTCATGTCAAGGGAGATTACAGTCTGTCAAAATTGTATAACGGTCTAGTAAGACCTAATTTAGAATATTGTGTACAATCATACACATTACATTAAAGAGACTGCTGCACTAGAATTAGTCTACAGAAGAGAATCCGGGTATATTCCAGGACATAAAGGAATATCCTACACTGATAGGCTGAAGGAACTGGATCAGAGAAAGAATTTAATTATGAAGGGATCTGATACGTCCTCAAAAGCATTGACAGAGTCCAGCCAGCACACCTTCAGAATAAGCCATCAAGTATGTATGTCGCTGAGGGTAAGGCTGTTAGGTGTGATTGGACGGTAACGAGGATGGATTCGGTACAGGAGCAACGCTGAATCTGCTGTGCAGAAGAGAGTTGCAAGGGGCTCAGGCTGGCAGTGAGGGGCTGCCCACAGGCTGGGGCTGGGTGGCAGTCTGGTCTACCCAGTATTTCATACAGCCGGTCAGACAGACAGGGCTCAGTACTGACCTGGCTGCGTTGCCTCTTGTATGTTGAAACAGCGAGACAGCACTGGACCACAAATAACAAACAGAGATTCCGTCCGAGACATTCACCCAGCTGTCCCCTGTGGCACAGATGCTGTGGCAATGGCCTGGTGCTGGCAGAGCAGCTGTGAGGCGGGCACTGTGGTGCTCCAGACGCAGCAAGGATGTACAAATTGTCCCAGGATGGGAGCAGGCTGGAAGTGGAGGCATCCATATCGGCCCACTGCAACATTCCTGCTTTCCCACAACAGCTGGGAACATCCCCAGTATCCCATCTGAGGAGTGGTAAAAGACATCTGTGGTCGGTGGACGAGCTGTCTTCTGCCATGCCGAACTCACTGGCCCCTTCCTTTGTTTGTTGTCTTCCCGCAAGGACTCCTCAAGCAGCACCGCCTTGAGAGACCTATCTCTCAGGCCATCAGGCAGGGCTCAGATAAGAAGAGATCATCCAGTTCATCGTGCTGAATTGGATTCTCTTCTCCGGAGTCGCATACCCACATCACTGTGCTGTTTCATCCGGATTTCCCTTGCTTTCAGTTTTAGAGGCATGCATGCATGAAGTATGGTGTGTGAAGCTGGATCTTCTCAGAATATAAAAAGCCCCAAAACAGAGCGTAAAACTGGCATTCCATCCACTTTCTAACCACTTAATCCAATTTAGAGTCACAGGGAAGCTGGAGCCTATTTTAGCAAGCAACAGGCACAAGTCCAGGTACACCCTAGACAGGACACCAGTCAGTCCATCACAGGGCACACAGACACACTCACACCAGGGCCAATTTTCCCAGAAGCCAATTGACCTGCCGGCATGTCTTTCAACTGTGGGGGGAAAACCAAATCGCCCAGAGGAAACCCACACAAACATGGGAGAACATGCAAACTCCCCCCAGACAGCACCCGTGGTCCAGAATTGAGCCCAGAGCTCCGGCACTGCAAGACAACAATGCTAACTACAATGCCGCCGTGCCTCCTGGACATCTGTCCTAACGGCTGTCAGACATGTAACAAAGTCTGACTTTGGGTGTGAGGGGGTTCCATTGCAGCACAGTATCCTTTTATATCACCAACACAGCACACCTCTTTCCCGGTACGCCACTGATCACAGGGATGAATCACACGGAAGGCACAAGGCAGCTTTTCTCTTCTCTTACCAGCTGCAGGAATCCTGCCCTCTGTCTACATTAACCTCTGTCAAGAATGGGGATCGATCTTTCTAGACATACGTCCATAGAAACTGTAACTAAGATGCCGGTGCTGAGGATTTATTTCTATAAGGAATCTCCGCACAGTGTTAGGAGAGCAGAGCAAATATTTAGGAAGAGTGGAAAAAAGCGTTTTGGAGCAGAAGTCCTACGCTGAAAAGGGCATGTGTGTGGAAAATGGAAAAGGTCACTAGGAGGATGGATGCCTAAACAATGGACAGATTTATGGGTGAATGTGTTTGTCTGCCTTGGAATTCCATTCAGTGGGTAGCCAGTGAGGATTGAACCTTGTTTGGCGCAGACACGGGTGTCCAGGAGCTTCTTATGGAAAGATAATGGTCCTAGAGTCCAGCGGGGACAAATCCCTGGAGGATAGGAAGAGTAGCTTGAAGGAGGGTCCAGTCCCAGGCACCTGCATGATTTTCCAGGAATCCAGGACTGACAGCAGCAGAAATAAATACAATTCACTGAGCTCCAACTCCTATTCTTGTGGAAATGAATGTATATGCATTATGCATTGTTAAAATCTGAACCTGTCTTATTCCTCTTTCTTTAATGTCTTGGCCTGCCAAGAAGGCCCAGTAGCAGAATTAAAACAGACAAGGACTCCTTTTCCCCTTGGATACCTTACATATTCCAGATCCGGTGACCAGTGAAGTCGTATCTGACTCCTCGAATGCGGTTGCTCTGAATATGTGGAAAGTTACATCGAGAAGGCTTGCACTAGACCTCACTTTAGTGACCTCAGTTAAAGGACTGACTTAAAGCAGCAGCTACAGAAAACTAAAATGGGAAGGAAACGGTATCAGAGCAGGTGATTAACATCAATCTGCCCTCTAAGCTCTTGGCCACAAACATAAACAAGTTAGAAAATAAATTGTATGTTGCTAAAGCCGAGCATTTTGTAACTTTTACTGAATATAAACCCAACTGGGGTGACTTGGGCCCGGGTTTAAATTCTGTACCTGGGGTGCTATCTGCATGGAGTTTGGATGTGGGTTTCCTCCCACAGTCCAAAGCTGTGCTGGTAGATTAATTATCTTCTGGGTAAACTGGGCCTGGGGTGAGTGTGTCTGTGTGTTGCTCTGTGATGCCCTGGTATCCTGTCCAGGATGTATCTCGCCTTGCAGCTGTTGCTTGCTGGGATAGGCTCTGGCTCTCCTGCGACCCTGTATCGGATTAAACCAGTTAAGGTGTGGGACTTTTATCATTATGACACACTTAACCTTGGAGTGCTGAATGAGACCGTTCCAATCCGCTTCTCTGATGATCTCTGCGCAATCCTCTGTCCAGTGACTTGGCCGGTACACATGCTGCAAAGGTCTGGCCAGCTTCTTTGCTGTACGTTATGGCTGATAGGTGTTGTTTGCTGAGCTCAGGGCTTTCTGCCCGGATGACACAGCATCTGTGGAATTTCTCTGCTCCCTGCAAGCAGAGCTAGGCAGCCATCTCATCCAGACTGCTGCAGGCCATTGTGGCAGGGCTGCACGTTCAACTGCTTTCATCCCTGATACTGGCATATTGCATTGGTCCTTGCAATGGTAGCCCTGGTTTTGACTACACATGGGGATCTGGTTAGGCTTCCTGTTACTGGTTTGCTGTCATACCGATAGGCCTTTTGACTAGTTTGATCCATAGATCAATCATATAATCACAGTTTATGAGCATCACTATAAGAGCTTGTGGCACTTAATAGGCATCAGCTCCTGAGTTGCAAATATCAATGTGACAGTTCATCTTCTGTGAGTTTGCACTGATCCCCAGACTGATGGCATTTGACCATGAACAACAGCCTGTCAAACTGGGCCGTTCTCTTGTCATTCATCTTGACATTCTCAATGTGATTGATAACAAGTCTCAATCAGCCAGTAAACCATAAACCTGCTCTGTGGAACACCCTAGCGCATGAACTAGCATTTAGTGTTTTAGTGGAAATCTCACACAATCCTTTCAGTTATTATCAGGACACAGGAAGAGATGTTCACATTTAGAGAGATATAAATCTGCTCCTATGTAGAGACTCAGGGAGCCTGGCCATGACGGGAGAATCTCTGATCACTCTGCTTTATTCTGGTTCCAGATCTATCTCTAGCAGATAGATGGGTTGACACAGTCCCTGCCGGAGACCTGTGGCACCCTTTGTTACTTTGCTCCTGCTGTGTTTGGATGGCTGGTGATGACAGAGATCAGTCCTGTCTCCAGAGTCGCGCCGTGTGTCCACATCACAGCTGAGCAAACTTGTGGAACTTTATTTTTGCTTTGGCATGCCTGAAACGACAGAAAAAGGGAGGGTATCTATTTCCTGCGCAGTCCCCCCGTTTGTCAAATGTCTTTTTTTAGTCCTGCTCACTGACTTTAACTCCTGTCTCCGTTAATCTCCAGGGACGCAGGAGTAGGATGACACGCTGGGCTAACTTTTTAATAAACACCCCTGAACTGAGGTGTGGATAAAACAGCACTGCGGGTAAATATGGGTCTGGAATTCCTAGACAGAAGAGAAAGGAGTTCAGCGGTGAGGAGACACTGCTTTCCAGACAGCTTGAAAAACACTGAAGATAATCTGGCAGATGCTAACCACTGCGGAGTCCAGGGTAAACCACTTGAATTTATGTGTTGTTATTTTTTTCATTTTCACATCTTCAATTACTGCAGCTGCCATCCCACACACTGGACTCTGCATGTGGGCGCATCCAAAATGAAAGAGATCAAACGAAAAATTGCAGCTCACATTGTTTCTGTTTCACAACATTGTTGGAGGACTGGCGGCTGGCATTTTACAGAGAAGCAAACGCAAAACCCCTTTCGAATTCCTGCAGGTCAACATCTGTGCAATTCTTTTTCTTTTAAATGAAGCCTTCAAATCCATCAAAAGCCCAAAGGTGCAGAATCTATCCTCTGTCTCTCTGGCATGCATGAATAATGGTGGATAATTGTTTTAAGAAATGACAAGTAATTATCCTTTAAGTATAATTTACCTTTCTTTGACACCCTGAGAAAAAGCTCAAGTGAAAATAACTATGGGAAACGAATTTCATCTCTCTATGTCTTACCATAATTCACCACCTTGTCTGGGGGTTTTTTGGGGAGGTTACAGTTAGTTAGAGTAAAAGATGGGAAAAAAGTTCGGCTTTGAGGATTGGGCTCGTTTTTACAGCCGAAAGAAAAGGACACATTCATTCCCTCAGAGTGCTGGTGGCTTCAGTAAATATAGCACGACAGCTCCATATCCTCCGAACTCCAAGTTCTCAGGTCCTCGTCAGCAAACAGCCTCCTTCTGTTCCCTCTTCTGCTGCTGGAGTGGGCTCAGCACCTCTCTGAAGTTAGAGCAGGCCCTTACATCCTCCGTGACAATCATGGTCTGGAAGAACAAGCAGGAAAATCGACCCCAGCAAAATTCCTGCCTTTGGTCATCCTGAAGTTTTGAAGATGGCATGGCCAGTGTTTGTCTTTTTCCAGATTACTCTTTAAACTGCCCCCACCCCCAGGTGACCGTCTACCTTGTCTGCAGTGACTGGGGTTAAAAGGATTGAATTTAAATGATAGAGCTCTCCCTTGGCTCACAATCCCAGTTATAAGAGCAAGGATTTTTTTTATTTCTTATTTCTTCTTCTTTCCAATGTATAGATTATTGTTATTACATCATCATCTAATCTAAATCGAATAATCTAACCTTACGTGCCAAAGAAAATGTAAGAGGTCTCCATTTTTTTATCAGTTGTCAGGCCAACAACACATTACCTTAACACAATTACATTCATCAAGTGGTTTTTGGCAGAATAAATTCAACATGGTTTTTGAAAAACCAAAACCCTAATGTTAAAAAAGAAATTTTCACATCCTTAGCAGGGCTCTTTAATTTGCAATGAATTGTTGTGTTTACTCCCTGAACGAAACCACGGCACTACGCCTAGGGTTGTGGTAACTGTTGCACAACCTTGGTTCGTAGCGTCTCTCCACGTGCAGCTCGTCTGCGGTCTGCAGCACAAAGAGAGGAATAGGAGTCAGGCCGACTGTGAGCACAGTTTCAGGAATGTCTACACCAAAAATTTCAGGAGGAATGTCTACACTAGAAATGTCAAGAAGTCAGGCCGAGAAGCCAAGAAACACTAGCTTTCTTCATCTTCAATCCGAGACGGCAGCAGCCTGTTTCGCAGACTGGACTGTGGAGTGATCCCCTTTGTAAGCCAAGAATGCTTTATTTGTGTAGGGAAAAAGAAAAACAACAAAGAAGTACAGGCATTTAACAAAAGTTTGTTTTTTAACTGGAGCTCGGAGTTAAGTTCGGGTTATAATGCGAGTGTGGTTAACAGAAAAATACCACATGTACAGTATGTAACATTGATTTTAATTAGAATGCTTGCTCCCCCAGACAACTTTGACTTTACAATAATCACATTTCAGTCTAAACTTCCCTGTTCCAGCTGTGGGGAAATCTTTGTACACGTGGGCAAATACTGAAGAAATCACACAACTGGAACTTTCATTATACTGCACATTAACTTCCCGTTTCATTGGAGTTACTCAATAACACTGACTGCATAAAATTCTCAGACAAACAGTGCGTTAATGAGGTAACACAAGCATCATTTGAAATTCTTGCCCAGTGAAAGTAACTAGGTTATTAGTGAACAAGGTAATCTAACCAGCAGATGTTTTCTGCATAAAGAGCAGAACTTTCTTAGGTGGATGGCTGATACATAGAATGGTTATGGCTTTCAAAAATGTAAATCCAGTCCCAACCTGACTTTCATATGACACACAGAACAGACTGAGGTGCAATTGAAAAGGAGTATTTGTGTCTGTGCTCCCCACTGGAATGCAGAATACAAGTTTTGATTTAATATCTTACACATTTTACAAAAGACAGTTTATTGCAAATTCCTTACAAATAATGAAAAACAAATGACAGAACCATGCGTGTTTTACACAGCTCATAGAAAAAGTGTTTTACATATGATAACAGAGCAAAAAAGCTGAATACACTCATTACACATTAGGATCCAAAAACTCACTTAAAATAAAAGGTTTCAAGTCCTGTTTTGCTTCTTCAGCAGCCTGGGCTCTTGAAAAGGTTTCTGGCAAAGACTGTCTCTATACATGCATGAACTCATACATTAATATTTTAATACTGCCACTGTTCCCAGACTGATCAGGTTTCAATCATGACTGTTTTGGCTCAGTTCTGAAAAAAACAATTACCTGTGTTTGTTTACTAAAATGTTTTTATTTTCAACATACTTTACCATGTATATTACAGTCACTGATTGGTTTATTTTGATTGTTAAATGCAGTTTCAAAAGTGTTCAGAGTATTGGATACTAATTTTAGTCATTTTCCGATTTAGAACTGACTTAGCTTCTAGGGGATAGGGAATCAATACCAGATACAAAAGTGTAATCATAGACTTTGCCTCCAATAATAACTTTTCTTCTCTCCAAACGATCTCCTGGCATACACGGCCTCAGTTTCATCCCACAACAGTTGTCTTTTTGCTCCTAACATATAGAAAAATCTGGAATATCTCTGCCTATGTTACAAGGCAATGCTGAAGACTGTATTACACAAACAGAAGATGTGACTAAACTACAGAAATGCATTGAAGGAAAAAGCAACATCTCTTGGTCACTAAAGAGCTATCATAATCCTTTGCGTTTTGTACACATTGTCACAGATTTATGAGAGAACAAAATACAGTACTGTAATAGATGACCAGATAACAGACTCAAAAATAGTGCTACTAACAGACATGTGACGATAATCTAAATCTGGCGAGTTACCTCTGCTAGGAGGATGAATCAGTATGTAAAAGAAAAGGCAATTGTAAGCGAGACAGGGTCCTCTGTCAGGCCTGCCTCGTCAGGAAAGATGTAACCAGCAAGAATGAGCACTTTTGAAATTTTAGAACTGCGCTTGATTTAGTATCTGTGAAAACAGAAAAAGGAACAAGAGGAACAAGTCACACATCAAAACATTAAAAACAAAATCATGGCTGAGCTGCAGTGTGATAATCTTGTAAGTATTTTTCATCCCACTTGAAATCTTCAGTTGCGTCTGGAATAGAACCAGCATGCAAAGAAGATCCTTTTCGCTTGCTTGGCCAGAACAGCTGTCCGTCCATCCATTTTCAAACCGCTTCTTCCAATTCAGGGTCGCAGGGGGAGCCCGAGTCTATACCAGCAAGCAACGGGCACAAGGTGGGGTACACGTCGCAGGGCAACACACACTCACACCAGGGCAAATTTCCATTGGACTGTGGGAGAACACTGGAGCACCAGTAGGAAACATGAAAACCCGGGGAGCACATACAAACTCCACACAGACAGCATCCCAGGGCTGGAATTGAAGGCTGCAACGCTAACCCCCGCAGCACAATGCCACCACAGAGCAGCCGTCATTCTTCCTAAAATTCAGATTTTCGGTTGTTTGCAATAATATGCCAACCCAAGATGGAATTGCCAACTGCTCTGAGGCTCAGATCTCCTACCTACAGGATGTGTTCTGGCTAAGTCACAGGATCGCGGTTTGCCGAAAAGCCCTGGCCTGCTAACCTCATTGCTATCCCAGAAGCACTCTCTGGTATATAGTGACCCAGACTCAGCCTTGTATAACGTTCGGGCCACGGAGCTCAGCCCGCACTCAGAGTGCGTGTCCCCTGCTGTCCGGAACAAGGCTGCCATCCCGAATCCGAATGGCAGTTACCCCACTCCTGTTTTCCGACACCGCCCTGCGGGCAAGGCCTGGCTGATACAGCTAGTGGTGGGGTAAGGGAAACTCTGCCATTTCCGCACAATGGAAAAGCCATTCCTACCCAGTTATCCTGCAGTTGCGCGTCGAGACGTAAGAGCCCGTGTACGTTATATCACACCTCACGACGTTGTTGGAGAAGTCCGTCTCCTGAACTTGGAAATTGGGGTTCACTGTGACCTGGTGGCGGAGAAAACATGGGTTACCTCAGAGCTGCAGGCGCCACTTGACATCTGGACACCCCAAGAGTGATCCCACCGTAGGGCCTGTCTGCGGGGCTGCAGGATGACAGGCCGCAGTCCCACTGCTGGAGGGATTCTCTTTTCAGAAAGAGAAACCCTTTGCAAACCCTGTTACATAGGCATGCAATCCATTGCTTGTTGTTCTTTCCCTCCTGGCTTCCTCTAAAATGCCCATCGATTATCATCATTCATGTAGACATCTTTATTTTTGTATCTTCTGCCTCATTTAGCATGGACCTCGTTAGCGCTCAGTGTTTCAGTGTAGCTTCAGCAAACTGACAAATCCCTGTCATTGCCTACTCTGGTCAGGACAATTTAAAATCGGTCTTCTCCTTGAGACATGAGGTGAGGAAGGCTCCACAGTGGCTGCAGACTTTATAGAGCGCAGAGTCAATATTTACCCGCTGTACTGGGGAGGGAGTCTATAGTCCCCAGTGTCTCTGTCTGGCAGAGGGTACATTTCTCCCCTGTGTGGGCGTTCATAGACTTTTTGAGACAGTGGTCCAGGATCCTGAGAAATCAGCCGTTACCTAACGTAGTATTCTTCCTGTTATTATGAGAATTACTGTTACTATGTTTTGCTTGCTATTTTTGCTTATTATACTGTAAGTACGCAGAACGCAGTTTTTTTTACAAACGTAAATGAAGATTTTGCCACACATCAAAACCAGCCCTCATGTATCACTGGGAAACAAATGGCGAACTCTGGGAAAGAAAGGGAGGATCTCACCTTGAGGACGTAGTTCCCTGGTGGCACATCTGTGATGTCGATCCACTGGCAGTCGATGTTGGCATTGTAGGTATCATAGCAACCAGGCCCCAGGCCCTGCACCATGCAAGACAATTATGGGACATTCACTCAGGACTTTAAAGGAAGTTATTACCTGAATTTTTGGAGGGATAGTAATGGCGAGCCAATCTCACACAGCTGCCCCTGATTGCCAGCGTGACAGAAAGCAGATGTATCTATTGAAACATTCGGCTCAAGCATCCCTCCTGCCCCCTGCATGGTCACTCCTCTCTGAATGGGGCTCCAGTCTCCTCGTGCTGAGGCCAAGAGGCTGCCCACTCACCAAGCGGGTTACAAACGTCTCTCCCCAGCTATTCCAAACATTGACAAAGCACCTGACGTGAACTTGCTAATTTCTTTAAACAACTCAATTTATTTCAGTCTTCTATTTGAGGCCTTTTTTTTAAATTTGGTTTCATTTCTTTAAAATGTTTAATTCAATTTGTAATGGGTATGAACCCTGTGCTAATCAGCATGTTTCAGGACTACCCTCCCTCAGGTGTTTCTGCTGGAATATGACCAACTGGGCTGAAGCAGAAGGACAAACACTCAGTGTCATTCCCACCTGTGTCTGTTCATCACCAGTTGATCAACCGATTATTAGCTGTTTAGTCAGAAATTAGGGCGCAAATTCTTCATTAGCACTCTGAGGACAGCGTGCACAAAGTTCTGTGTGCTGGTGGTTTTTGGAAAAAATGCACTTAAAAAAAAGTGAAGAATTAAAACCGAGGACTGAGTTTAAAAAAAAGTGTATACCAGCAAGAAGGTCAGTTACTGGCAGCAATTAGCACTGGTGATTTAGGGCCCAGTTAAAAGAAAACCCAGCAGACACAGGGGCTCTCCAAGATTGAGAGCTATGCATGCAAGTGTGCAAGAACAGGATGACATTATCAATGCAGTTAGAGCAATGAGGAATAGAAGTTAGGGCTCTGGGTTCAAATGCCAAATGGGACCACTGAACCTTTGAAGGCAACTAGCAACAGTGGTAAGGAGGGAAACTTCCTATCAGAAATAATTTGACAGCAATCCTCATTGTCAGCTTGTAATATTGTTACAAAGTGGACATTTTTGTCTTGGATCTCTACACCTGACCTGGAGTTAAGGAAGCACCCGCACTGCTGTATGCTATCCACTCAAGAACCTGAGGCCACAGAGGAGCCCTGGGTGCAGTTCAGCCTCCCACCTGCGTGTGCGCTGTGCAGGCATAACGCCGCCGGAAACCCGGGTCACAGCTGGTGTCCTCCAGGCAGAAGCTGGCCTTGTGGCCCTCCGCCACTTTGCGGCCAGTGGAGACGTCCAGCAGGTCGTAGTTACTGAAGGCGTCCATGCTGTGGTAGTGTCTGAGAGGTGAGAGGGGGGAGAGGGAGAGAGACCAGAGATGGAAAACGATTCCTGGCCAAAGCACAGAATGTTAACCAGTACTGGGTATCCCTAGAGACCGGAAACTCATTCAGGAGTTTTCTCAACAGGGCAAGATTCACTCCATACTGACCCAAGACCTGCGTGAAGTTGTTTGCTAAGATGCTAGGACACTGGAAACCCCCAAATGCCCTGATAACTGAGGACATACTGTACTCCTAACACTTCTTACATCTAGAACTGTCTTGCCCATTCATGCTGTTGAATCTCGAACCCTGAGCTTCTTTCAAGAAACGGACGGATAAATCTCGCTTGGATACAAACGACCTCCTCGCCTTAGGTTCTCATGTCTTCTGCCCAAAATGAAAGACGTTTTTAAATTTCACCTTGTGTCACAGCATTGGCAGTGTCTGATCAGCAGGTACTGTGCGTGTCAGCCATGCGTGTGTCTGCTGGGGAATCGCTCAGCTCCTCCTTCGCCTTGGACCCCTCTCTTACTTACTGATGACAGCTGTGCCACTCCCACTGGTGTCTGGGCTTGACGGGCAGAAAGTCGGCTGTTCCTTGGTTTTTGACCCTCTGAGGGAACCGTAGCAACACCCTATAGTGAATATCTCTGACCCCAGGTCTGTAGGCTGACCTAGAAGACATCGCATAGAAAATAAACACGTTTTGGCCATTAAAAGTTAATTGAAGGATCGGCGCTTAAGGAGACTTAGACATCCCAGCAAATGAATTAGAATTCATTTAGAAAGTTAAAATAAGCACAGGGGTGAACCAAATACCTCTATGAGGTGAAGGGAAAGTTGATTTTACTTTGTATTCTGCGATATCATAGGTCATGGGAATACCGGTATATTGCTTTGCCTCCGACAGCTTTGGAAACCTTTGTCCACACTCACATTACCATCACAGACTGAGGAAGACAGGATCAAGCAAAACATGTTTCACTCAACACCGACAACCTTTGTGGTCGTGTTAGGCAAATCGGTGATTTATTTCAGGTAGATTTTAAACGCGTAAAGCGGGTTTTTGTTCGGACTCGTGTGAATGGTAGGGCTGTACACCGCCCTTTCCAGGAAGGACTTGGGCTCGCAGAACCGCTTACTCCCCGCACAAGGAACAGGGGGCCTGCTTGGGTCCCGCTGCGATACCCGGGACTGAAGTGCTGGGGTCAGGCGTTACTTTGCTTCTACGAATGGAATCCGGCGCATCATTCAGAGTCCGGAGGTCAAGCGCGCTGTTTCTCCGGCTGGAATGTGTCGGTTGGCTCTCTTCGGGGGGAGGGCAGCCTCTGTGCCAGGCCCAGTTCATCCATCATCGGAGTGGATACGCCAGGGAGGAGCGGTGCCGAGGGAGTCTGGCAGACGCTGCCGGCGTTAACCTTTGGACAACCGGACTGGTAGCGGTGCCCACAGTTCTGCTTCTCGTTAATTAAAAAAAAAAAGTTTTCTGTTCTCCAGCAGGTGCGTTTACTCACCTTGTTCCACTTGCTAGCGTCGTAGTTTTAAACGAAATCTCCGGCTACTTATCTGGAACAGTGCGCAATATCCGCCGAGGAAGCAGGGGTTAAAGACTGCGCGGATTCACACGATTTCAGTCAAATAGGCAGACTACACCCCCACCCCCCACACACACGCTGTTTGCAGCGGTAAAGCCGCTTTTTCAGGCCAGAACACCGATCAGGCGGGCAAGCGGCAGCTCACCTGGCCAGACAGTTCTCCTCCGCCGCGCAGCGCA